TCCAGATGTGGTGGATAAAGTCAAGGAGGAAATAGAAAGGCTGCTGAAAGCAAGATTTATTGAAATAACCAGGTATGTAGAGTGGCTTTCAAATATTGTCCCTATGAAAAAGAAGAATGGGAAGCTAAGAGTTTGTATTGACTTTCGGGATTTGAATAATGCCACTCCAAAGGATGAATACCAAATGCCTATGGCAGATATGTTAGTAGACTCAGCATCGGGAAATGAGATGTTATCCCTGATGGATGGTCATTCGGGTTATAACCATATATTTATCGCTAAGGAAGATGTCCCGAAGACAGCATTTAGATGTCCTGGTGCAATCGGGACTTTTCAGTGGGTGGTTATGCCTTTTGGACTAAAGAATGCAGGAGCTACGTACCAGCGGGCAATGAATTTGATTTTTCATGATATGATTGGTAAATTCTTAGAAGTTTATATTGATGACGTGGTGGTTAAATTAGCCCAAGAAGATCATCTGGATTATCTCGAGCGAGCGTTTATTAGGACGAGGAAATACAAATTGAAGATGAATCCAGCCAAGTGTGCCTTCGGAATACAAGCAGGAAATTTCTTGGGATTTTTGGTCAATCAGAGGGGAATCGAAGTTGACAAGAACAAAACAAAAGCTATCATGGAGCTTTCTCATCCTACGTCAAAGAAACAATTGCAGATGGTGATCGGGAAAATAAACTTTCTAAGAAAATTCATTGCCAATTTGTCTGATAAAATGGAGCCGATGACACAGCTTCTGTGTCTCAAAAAGCAAGATGAATTTATATGGGAAGAAAAAGAACAGAAAGCGTTTGATTCAATCAAAGCTTATCTAATGAATCCGCCTGTATTAATGCCGCCAAAAGCAGGCAAACCACTGAAATTGTACTTATCAGCTACCGATATAACTATCGGGAGTATGTTGGCTCAAGAAAATGAGAATGGGAAAGAACAAGCGGTATATTATTTGAGCAGGGTGTTAACTGATGTTGAAAAAAAATATATACCGCAATTAAAAAATTATGTCTATCTTTATACTTTGCTTGTATGAAGTTAAGGCATTATTTGCTGCCAACTACAGTACATGTGATCGGTAAGACTGATATAATAAAATATATGCTATCCCGACCTATTATAAAAGGGCGTATAGCAAAGTGGGCCTTTATCTTGTCCGAGTTTGATTTGATATATGTGCCGATCAAAGCAGTAAAAGGCCAAGCCATTGTTGATTTTCTTACCGAATATTCATGTTTACAAATGGAAGAAAATGAGCAAAGTCTTAGTCAAGTTCTACCATGGACTATGTATTTTGATGGATCGCGTGCTAAGAGCATGGCTGGAGCTGGATTGGTAATAATTTCTCCCGATGGGAAACTTAGAAGGTGCGTCTATAAGTTAAATTTTGTATGTTCTAATAATCAAGCCCAATATGAAGCATTGATTATCGGACTGTGAATATTGATTGAGTTGAAAGCACAGTTTATCAAAGTATTCGGTGATTCACAATTAGTGGTGAAGCAATTAAGGGAAGAATACCAGTGTTTGAATGAGAATTTGATTGGTTATTACTATTTAGCTAAGAAGCAATTAGAGCAATTCAGGGAGTACGACATAGTCCATGTTAAAAGAGATACAAATTTTGAGGCTAACGAGTTGGCTCAAGTAGCTTCTGGATACCGAATATCAAAAGAGTTAGCTGACATCACAACCACCATAACACTATCGGTACCTTCTATTGAACAAAGAAAGATACCGATAGCAGTTAGCGAGGTAGTCCAAAAAGAGGATTGGAAGCAAAGTATCATCAAGTATTTGAAGAATCCAGATTCAAGAGATCGAAAGCTGAGAAGACAAGCCCAGAAATATGTCGTATTAGGAGAAGAATTATACCGAAAATCCTCATATGGATTGCTCTTGCGTTGTCTTGATGAAGATAATGCAAAATTGGTTATGGCAGAAACACATGAAGGCGTATGTGGAGCTCATCAAGCAGGAATCAAGATGAGATGGCTGTTAAAAAGGTATGGATATTTTTGGCCAGAAATGATGCAGGATTGTATCAATTATGCCAAAGCATGTCTTTCATGTCAAAAACATGGACCGTTGCAACATGTACCTGCTATGGAGCTCCATTCTGTTATAAAGCCGTGGCCATTTAAAGGATGGGCAATGGATATAATTGGTAAGATCTACCCACCCTCTTCTCATAAGCACAGTTACATTTTGTTAGCCACAGATTATTTTACGAAATGGGTGGAAGCCATTCCATACAAGAGTATAACACAAAAGACCGTGATCAAATTTATGGAGGAAAATATAATTCATCGATTCGGCTTGCCTGAATCAATTACTGCCGATCAAGGTACAGTGTTCACTGGAAGTGAAGTAAAGGAATTTGCGCGATCAAGAGGAATCAAAATGATTTATTCCACACCGTACTATCCTCAAGTAAATAGACAAGCTGAGGCTACTAACAAGGTTGTTGTTGGTTTTATCAAGAAATATCTAGAAGAAAATCCAAGGGAATGGGATATTTTATTGTCAACAGTATTGTGGGCATACTGAACGTCACAAAGATCAAGTACAGAGTGAAATGTTGCCTGAAGATTATAAAGATTGGATGCATATAAATCTAGATGAACTAGATGAAGTTCGTGCGGCTTCTGTGGATCGGTTGATTGCACAAAAGAGAAGAGTAGCCAGAGCTTTTAACAAAAGAGTTAAAGTTAAGCAGTTTGTGGTAGGGGATCTAGTATGGAAAACGATACTGCCTTTTAATCTCCAAAATAGAGAATTCGGTAAATGATCATCAAATTGGGAAGGACCCTATTTAGTTACCGAAGTGCTGAGTGGGAATGCATACAGGTTGATGGATGTCAATGGAAAAGAACTATCACGTTCTATAAATGGGAAATTCCTGAAAAAATATCATCCATCAATCTGGGAAACATAAGGAGATTTATTCATCCACTAGAAGTCAAAATACATTCTGATCTTGGTTACAAAGATTTGCAGATCCTTAACAAGTTTGAGATTTTGGGCTACAAGATTAGAATGTAAGGCAAGATTCGGGTGAAGTTCAGAAAGTTGTTCTTCAAGATACTTCATGTGACGAGAATGGAAGCGGATAACTTCAAACTTCTCCCAAGCTTCTCGAAGCAACTGCCTGTGCCTGTTTGAAGAAACTTCAACCATGGATCTAACTCGAGAGATTTCATCTCTGATCACTCTCTGTTCTACACGACGATGATTCAAAAAGAAAGTAAGGAGTCGACGTGCCATCTCAACGTCATCTTTAGCTTGAGTACAAGACTCCTGGGTTTGAGCATATTTAGCCTTAGAATCTTGCAATCGGGAAAACGCCTTCTCAATCTGAAGTTGAAGAGCATCAGCTTCCACAACAACAGGTTCCAAATTCCAAATCTCCCTCACATTATGTTTGAATGCATCAAAGTTATCAGGGAATAAAGAACATAGCTCCCAGACCAAATCCAGAAAGGTAGAATCTACAGACAGAAATACTTTGAATCTGAAGAAGTCTGTCAGATCGGTAACTTCTACCTTATGATTGTTGTTCAATAATAAAGCATGGTGTCCTTAGGATAGCAGTTCGTGTAGTTGCCTCCATAAGGATCGATCACCTATAGAAAATGAAGCAAGTTGTCATGTTAAAGGGAATGAAGAATGGTCGTCAAAGGTCAGGTAGAAAGTTTACCTTCATAAGTATTACGACCATTCTGTGATCGAGACCAAAGAAGCAGCCGAGATGAAGAACCATGTGAAGACATCATGAACAGGATTGTGAGTTTGTAGGGAATCTGTGGCAAGCTTAAATAGTTATAAAGGGAGCAGATCGTGGAGGATAATGTGTCAGAATTTTCTCGGAGAGATGGGACGGAGATGGAATTTGATTCATGCGTGTGGATAAGCAGTTATTAAGTTGGTAACCAATAAGTTCAGAGAGAATGAATGAAAGGAAATGTTAGCATTTGATCTTTCAATTACGCAAGTTGCAATGGAACAGTTATCTTTGAATTGATTCAAATATCTAAAAGAACCAGACAGAGATAAAGAGCGACATTTGGGTAGAACGTTTGAGTTACCGATTGCTAAAATATACAGCGTCGGGAATTTGCTTTATCGGGATATCCTACATTTGAATATACAACATCGGGAATTTACTCTGTCGGGATATTCTACAATTAAGCAAATGCAAAGAAGACCAAGAATGGAATCCAACAAATGGTTTCGACATTTTATCTCCAATTAGCCAATAGGGTCTTGGCTTCAGTTACAAAGTCTCTTAATCTAATCTCTAGCCTGTAGTTTTCATCCATGATCTCTGCCCTTTTCTTCTCATGAACCCTAACTAACCCAATAGTATTATCAAACTCTCTCTCCAATTCCTTACATTTCTGCATCTTGCGTCTAAGTGTGGGAGAAAAGTTTGAGACTGCGAATTTCTGATCTATAATTTGAGCATCCACCATCCTCAGCTCTGCTTCAAGTTCTGCTCTTCTGGCCTCCAAGCTTTGAAGTTTGCTTGCCTCAACCTTAAAATGATTATAGAAGAGACGAGCATCTTCACGCTTGTGGGCTAACTCATCTTGGATTGCCAGTCCTCGGCTTTCTCCAAAGAGAAGATGGGGGAGATGATCAAGATTGACTCTGATTGTAGTCACAGCATCTACAAAGTCAACAGCGAAGAGATCAATCTTGTCTTGAAAAGAATCAGACAGGATAAAGGATGGATGGCCAGAGCATATTTCCTGGAAAAGATTCCTCGCTTGGCGTTCTTTGATAGAGTCAATGATCAACTTCCCATAACCAGACTCTAATAGGTTTAAGAGCTGTTCCCATTTAGCTTTAGCCACTTCTCTAGGAACTTTGGCAAGCATTGACAAAGTTGAAGGCTCTGAGGAATCAGTAGTCATTGAAGAACTGGGATGAGTACTTGCCAATATTCTTTCCAACTCCTCCCGTTCTGCTAAAGGGAAAATTTCTATCTAAGCAGATGGATTGGGCACAGCATAGGATGTTGAGGGAGGTAAAGCAGTGATAATCTGAGAAGTTGGTGGCACTTGCACACTCAAAAGTTCCTGAATCGTCGTTTCTTCGGGCGTTGGAATCTCTTGAGGTGCAGAAGCAGGTATGCCAGAAGCTATAGCTGTAACATATGTATATCAGATAACTGAATAGAAATTTCGAGTCAAATACAGGGCAATGACATTTACCAGTAAGAGCTAGAGGAAGATTTTCTTCAGGTTCTATGACATTGGTAGAAGTATCCTGCGTTGGTATACCCTCTTGAGAATCTGAAATAGGAGGTTGATCTTGAACCAACTCAGCAGTAACTTCTATCAAAGAAGCAGGAATCACTGGTGAAAGATTTGGGGCTGATATGATAAGAGCCTTGCTAGGAGAAGGAACAGGGGAAGCAACACTGGATGGATCAGTCTTGGGAGTATCTGGATTAATCAAAGGATATACAGGTTAGTGCTAATATGCACATTGCTAGTCTCCATAAATAAAGCAAGAGAAGTACCTTTTGGTGTGCGCGGTTTCATCATAGCTCGAAGCGTGAGCTTTGAAGATTGATCAGATGTTGGAGGACTCTCTGGAGATTCTGAGGAACGAATAATTACTTTTCTAAAGCCGCGTTTTGCTGGTGCTTTCTTTGGAGCAATAGAATCTGAAGTCTTTCTTTTCTTGTTCACTGCGAGAGTATGATGTTAAATGGGAGGCTGAAAATCAAGCAAAACATATATTGAAAATCAGAATCAAATTACCTTTGGAGGGTTCTATTGACTTGGTTGGAGGCATATTCACAGCCTCAATTGCTTTTGATGCTACAGGAGGAACAACATCTCTTATTTTTGAAAGAATCAGGTCCAGAGGATCTGAAAACAGTCTTTTGATAATCCTTCCACCAAAGGTCAAAATCGGCTGAAGAATAATCAGAGTAGCCAGTGAATTCGATGACACGGGACAATCGGTAGATACCCCGTATCAACGTGGTCAGCTCATTAAAAGGCTGATCATCCTTCAGCTTGCAAGTTAATTTATCAAAAGAAGCAACAGAGAAAGTGTAAAGGGCAGGAACAGGAACTCCTTGAATTAACCCAAGTTGCCTGGCACAGTATTGGGGAGAATAGATTTCAAAGCCAGCAGCAAACCTTCCTTTTGTCGAAAATCTCACAGGGAGATCAACAGAAGTCAAGACAGATTGCCAAAAGTCACTTTTGTTCTTCTGAAAGGCAGGAAGGTAAGATTTGAATTGAGGGGTGAAGAAACGAGAGAAAGAATGTGGATTCTCCTTAATGGAATAAATTTGAGAAATAAAGTACCGAAAACAAGAGGATGGTGCTTTAGGAACAGAGACCAGTTTCCTGCTCAAAGTTTGGCAGACTAGTTGGTCAGGAATAGAAACCGAGAGAGGTTGGATAACTTGATCCTCGGAAAACCAAGCAGGGAAATAGAAGGTTGCCCATGCTTGAAGAAGCCAAAGAGGACCACCAAAAACGCCACTAACTTCATCTGAAGCAGTGGAGGAAGAAGCATGGGCTAAACCCCGATAGAGTAAGGCCAACATTGTCTTGCCTAAAGAAAGTTGGGTCCCTGAAGCTAAAGCAGAAGCAACAGCAACAGCAACAAAATCGTTCGAGACCCTAACTATAGGGTGGCAGAAAAGGAATTTACAGAGCCAGTATAAAAGAAAAGCATTGTGCTCTTTGTCGGTAATTGCATTTTCCTTTTTAAAGTAGTTTTTCATGAATGTCCCGTAGGCCATTTCAGAATCAGATAATTTGCCAAGCGGTGAATGAGAATCTGGAGACAGGGTAGATGGGTCTATACCCAAAGGAGAGAGCCCAGTAAGGCAATGTACATCAAGCAAAGTTACCGACATAGGAGAAAAAGGGAAAAAGAAGCAGTTGGTCGAAGATGACCAAAAACAGGACAATGCACCAACTAGTTCCCGATTCACATGGTAGTCGAAACAACTAAGACGCAAAGCATCGTGGATGGAAAGGGTATTCCAAAGAGAACCCTTAGAAGGAAGAAGACGAATGTACCATTGATAGAACTCAGAATCAAAATCAGAGAAAGCCCTAAGGCGAGAAGGACGAGAATACCACTAGTACGCCAAAATAGATGACTCATGGATGGGAAGTACCTCAATCTGATGACGAGGGAAGCGGTTTGACAGGCATTGTGGAACGAAAAAGTGATTGTGAGCAGCAGGGCCGAGGATATAAGAATCTTCAAAATCATTCTGTACGAGAGAACAGATGAGATCCTTCCTTGAAATTATCAGAATCCCGGAATAGATAATATCGGTCGAGGGCATCTGATGCAGAAAAGGAGAAAGTTTGGTCCTTGGAAGCTTTGGAAGCCATGGATTTTAGTAGAGTGTCGGAAAAGATTGCAGAGATTCGAAAAGGTGAAGATGAAGAAGAACGAAAAAGGAACAATTTTTATCAAAAGTGTTTTGGAGACGAAAGGGTAGGCGCGCGAAGCAAGGTGACGAAGCGACGTCAAGAATAGGTACTATTTCTTTGACATTTAAAAGAATTAAAAGTTCTTTTAATTCTTTTAAAAGGGGGCATTTGTTTACACCAAAATCGGCATAGATGTCAAGTCGGTTTAATGTCAAAATCCGACGGACAATGGAGCTCAGTCGTCTGCCGAAGTACGTTTGGATAAAATTCGGGAATGTAGTAAGCGTGAATGGCACCGTGTCCCGAATTCTGTGATTGGAGAGAATCGGTAATTTTACCGAAACATGAAAAGTTTACATTTCGAGAAATGCTGAAACTACCGAAAATCGGCAAGATCACAACTCAGCCACGTGAATCGTGACAACAGGAAGTTATGAGCAAAAAGCGGAGATAGTGAGCACGAGCAGATCGTGGGAGATTATTTATCCAAATTGGAAGTCATCTCAGCGGTTGAGATCAAGTTTTGGTGGACAATGAAATTGGAAAACGTGGGTAGATAAGGCAGTTATTGAAAGCGCCCAGATTCAAAGTTTGAAAACAAAGAAGTAACCGACAAGCAGTTACAGGATAGGAGGAGATATAAATACTCAGAAGAAAGAAGAAGAGAAAGGATCAATAACAATGCAAAAAAACTCAAGCTTATATGCACTTTAGTTTCCTCTGCACTTTTACTTCATGCGTTTACAGCTTCCTGTAGCTTTAGTTAACCTTCAAGTCATTTACAGCTTTCATAAGAGTATTGTAACGTAGTTAGAAACTTTGTTGATCTCATATCCATTTTCAATCCACTCAATTTCTACCCACTTCCATATAACCCTGCACTACACTCTGTTTTTCGCCACGATTTTCCTAGAAATCAAGCCACAGAACTTACTTTAATAAAAACCAAAAATCGAAGTTTCGGTAAAGGATATTCCTCGTCGTAAAACGAGCGAACGGATTGTAATTTGGTTGCTAAGGCCCCAGAAGTGCCCACTGCCACAGAAGGCCAGGAGCCCACTAGAGAAGTGTGGTCCACAGACTTGAGGCATTGAGCAAGACAGGAAAGGGAAAGGGATTAGTAACTCATAAGACTTGTCCATTTTGAAGAACACACTGAAAGAAAGAAAATGCAAGATGCAGTGATATAACACATAAGTACAACTTATTTTAAACTTTTATACTGAGGCAGCAATTGCTGTTTTAATATTCAATTAAAACTTTTCACATCACTCGCTGAAAAAGTTTCAGTAGGATTTCTTTATACATCCAGCAAACAGAGGATAAGAGATAAGGATCAGGAGAGAGAGCGAACCCAGTTAAACCCAAGAAGAAGAGACGCAGGAGTAGAGCCGCGGTGATGACTGCTTCCTCTGTTTTGCAAGCCAAAACATATAGACAACCAGCAAGCAGCCCGTGTCAAATAATCATATGCTTTCGTGGGAAAAGATTCGTACACAAAACAAAACTGATTGTCACACAAGCACAAACATTACGCAACCTGTCTCTATGGAAGAAGAAGGAATGAGGGAGGAGGATGAGGGAAGCGAGAGCATTTGTGTAGAGAACGAAGACGAAAGGGCTTATGCACCCACCTACGCATGGCCGAGTTGGTGGGCGCTTTCCTTCCCTCAGAGAGGTTTTGGGTTCAAATCCCTGCTCAGTTCCGTAATTTAAGTGGGGGCCCTGGCGGTGGGTTGTTGGGCTAGTTTCCCCCAAGGTATAGGCGCCCCGATTACCTGTGCAGGCTCGTCCTCGGGGAATGGTGACGGATCCTCGGTTACCAAGATGGTCAATCCAATGGTGTATCCCTCCATGATCACCATCACCACGAACTGCGCCACGTCCATCGCTTTACCATCCCTAATCACCTCCATCTCATCCCTCATCACTTCTCTCTCTCTCTCGTCTCTCTCTCTAGCTAATAAGCTGAAACCTTCATCCTCTCTTCGATTGGAAGGTTCTAACCAAGAACAGATGAACGAAACAATCTCAAGATCAATACATGATTCGGGCACACATCCATATATACATATGTCCATGTCCCTGGCCTATATCTGAGAATGCCCACATCCACATGTATAAATTAGAGAGAGAGAGAGGGAGAAGGCAACCCTTCGAGGAGTTGTGAGGGTACTGAGAGGGAGAAAACGCTACTCGTTTGCATCAACGTCGTATTATTGCATGAAATAAATGACGTGGCCACAAGGTTTTGAAAATTTTTTTAGTTTTTTTTTTTCCTGTTGCCCTTGATTTCGTTTTGGGAAACACTCGAGCACACGTTTGCTCTCTTTTTGTCACACGGTTCCTACAATAATCCTGACGGAGCACGCAGCAATTCTTGACAATTTTACTAAATTATATATTTGATGGAGACAGGGACCATAGGTTAATATTATATTTCTCTATAGGGCGGGGAGAATTATCAAAAAAAGACTTAAACCTACTGGAATTGAGTTAATTCAGTCCTCAATCCTTTTTTTTTTGGCTAATTGAGTCCTAAAATTTTTGCATTTGTGCCAATTCAGTCCATATAATAATTTTGGCTTGAAATCGTTGGCATGACGCTGACCGGCACTAATGTGGATAATTTTTAATATCTTTTTGAACTTTTTATTTATTTATTTTTACTTTGCTCACCCTCGCCCAGCCTCGCCATTGCTGGGTAAGGTCAAGCCTTGCCAGGGGCCAGCGAGGTGCTAGAGGAAGAAGGGAACGAAAAAAAAGAGAGAAAGAAAATAAAAAAAAAGAAAAAGAAAAGAAAAATAAATGAAAATAAAAATATCCAAAAAAAATTGTTCACGTTAGCGCCGACCGCGTCATGTATGACGACCGGCGTCTATGTTAGCAATTTCTGGCCAAAATTGGCTAAATTGACTGAATTAGCACAAATGCAAAAATTTTAGGATTCAATTGACCAAATAAAAAATGTTTGGGACTAAATTGACACAATTTAAATAGATTTAGAATTTTTTTGGTAATTTTCCCATAGGGGTGGGTTAGTGGTTCACATTCAAAAAGATCCCATCCATGTCTTCAGGCCCAGCCAACTTCTTGATCTTTTTTATCATTTAATTTTGGAATGAATCACATCTGTTTTATTGTTGTCAGACCCAGTATTTTGACACGTCATATATAGAATATTCGAGCATCCAACTTCTGTATATCATATTAAGATTAGTTCCCCTTCCACACCAACAGGGTCCAATGACATTTCCTGCTGACCAATTTAGCCTGAACCGTTGGCTGAATTAATCATATGATTCTCTGTGGAGTGAGCAGGGTCCCCTTTCCTTTTCATGAATGAGTCGTGTGGCCTCACCTTAACAGGGGGGAGACAGGAGAGGTCGTAGTCTCCTCAATTATATGAATAAGAAAAATCAAATTATATAAGAGCTCTCCTGTAGGATGGGCATCATAGGTAACAAGATTCCAACCTTTGATTCTGATTTCGACCCTTTGGAAACCCTGAAGTGCCTGTTGGATTTGGCCCAGAAGCTGACGTGCAACTTTTGCAGAGAAAGCAAAGTCTTCCTCTCATGCGGCGGAGCGGGGCAACGAGGCTGAATACAGCTAAAGACCACACGGCATCCAGCAAGTGTCTTCATTTTCAGGGACAAGAGGCAAATGCAAAGTAATAAACCCCTCAGAGACATTAAGAGCCAGTTCGTTCGACATACATAGAAATGTCTGGGACTCAACAGGAACAGTGTGGGTAAGATAAGACTAGAATCCACACTGTAGGAACACTGGTTAGACTGTATAAGACTCAGCATGATCGTGCCTTCCATGTTTTGAGGACAGCTCAAACACAATTTATATTTGCATGACTCAGCAAGGCAGTCTATGGACATCATTCATTCGGGGAAAAAACGGATGCGATAAGGGGAAAAAACTATAGCTTTTTACCTAAATGGTCAGTAAATGCGATAACATTCATGATAGACTGTCACTAAACGATAAGCTTCAGACAGAAAAATACATACCCTTCAAAAATAAGACAAAATTCTTTTGAAACATTAACAGATTCACAATTTTTTCATCACAGAAAAAGGAAACAGGGAACGTGTGCATTATCACAGATATATGAATTGTTACACAAGCATGCACGATTACACAAAGCCTAACTGATTGGCATGTTAAAAGAAGACAGCTTAAAAGTCGATATTGACAACCGGCGCATTGATCTTGTTCTTTGGATGAGTATTTGGATAGAAATCTCTAGCTTAAAAAATCCTGCTAAAACTTAAACAATGTTGTGCATACAATAAAAGGGCAGGATGCCTAATACCGACTCATTTGAATCAAAGACAGGAGATACCAAAATTGTCTCCTCTGGCTTGGAAGCGGCAGAATCGGTATCAGTATACTGAAAATAAAAGGGCAAAAGAAAAGGCTAGACATTATATTGATATAGGGAAAAACAACCCTAAAACCTTATCTTTAGAGAACAATTATTAGTTGGTAAAGCTACTTCCATTTCAATAAGAAACGTCAGCCGGGATAAAGATTCTGCAAAGCATTCAACTCAAACAGAAATAATCAAAATCAGAAGTAAATCTCTCTTCCTTTGTTGCCAATATCCACCAATTGCGAGGTGAACCTAGGAGAAAAACAATCCAAGTTACAAAACTTTTCCTCTGCCAATACATTCTACTTATTTAGATTTCTATGCTGACTGAACCAACATTAGCCTATGATCCCACCCTAAAGAATTTCCGCTATTTATCTAACACATACACTGACCATGACAAAAATTGTAAGCCGCTAAGATCAACCACAATGCTATCTATTCATATTTGCAGCAAGGGTTTACGACAATTTTGAATGCTCACCCATTTCAGTTTATCACCACCATATGCATTCCAGCAAAAGTGACGGTAAACAACCATGAAGTACACAGATTATCGTGAACGCCATATCTTACCACAGCAGGCAACAGTGTGATCTAGATTGCGGATAATTGAAAAAGAAAAGGAAAAGATTTGAGTTGAGAAGAGCCTCCTTTTTGTCATGTCATCAAAGTTGCAGCTGTCTTTATTCTAATAAAACAAACACTAGTCAAGCACATTAAACAAACTTGACTTGCTGAAGATGTTCAGTATTTTTGTTTTGTGGGATGTAGAATTTGCTTTCTTTATTAGCTGTTAGTTATGACAAGGGAGTCTATCTCAGGTAGCTAAATTGGGAAAAGTATCCCTACTAGCCTTGCAGGCTAAGTAAAATACATGCTAAAGCCCATATCACAAGCTCAAACACAGGATCCTTAGGATAGGAAACTTAACATGTACGGGAAGCCTAATCCACACACATATGTAATACTTAATTACTAAACCAATTGCATGCTGTTTGAGCGAAAGTAAATTGAAATAGAGGAATGATTAAATGGAGGATAGACGCTGACTCGCTCTCTACCAACAACCAACTATTGTGTAGGGCTCAACATTTTGAAACTAAGAGGCAAGCTCCATGGTCCTTGGGACTACAGAGTCATAACTGTCTCTCTATAAATTTGACCTTCCGGCGACAATTAACTCCAGCCAATGGCCACGCCAGAATCATGTCTCGAGCCTAAAAAAAAACACATTTTTTTTCCTGTTTGCAGTTTCTGTGTTTCACACAATTGTCCTTGAAACCCAGTACAGGATAGAGAAGCTGCGAATACCCTTCTGATGTAGACAACTTACATCTTTATGTATGGATCAAGTATCATTTTCCATCCAAAGGAATTTCTTCTTTTATCACAATTTACATGGCCAGAAACAAAACTTTTGCTAAATATTTACATTTCTTCAACAATAGTTTCCAAAAGAGGGACCTTTTTGTTGTTTGGTTCCACATTACCCACTGAGGTAGCAAGACCCGTTTTCTCTTCTTTGGCTTTACCCCACATCACAGAATAAAATCCAACAACAATTGCCACTGATCCTACCAAACTGCAAAGATGAAACATGTAACTCATGAAGCTGTCACAGTTACTAACACAAAATTAAATTCTAGAAGAAAGGGAGAGATATCAGTTGCAAGAACAGCAGCATTGAACACATAGGTATCAGAAAGATTGATTAAAGCAAGTATAAAGATTAGAAATACCTTCCAAGATAAAAGTTATCTCCCAAAAATAGAACACCCGCAACAGCTGCAATGACAATCCCCACGGGCTTGAACATCGATACAAAGACAGGTCCCGTTCTGCGCAGGCACCATGTACTTATGCCAACTTGGAAAGCAGAGCCAAATACAGCCTACATCATAACCCCAAAGTTACGAACTAATTATGCAAAAAGAAAAGGTAGAAAGTGACATAATGGCAATAAACAATTGCAAGTCTGCTACAAACAGAGCCAGAGCACCAATATCCTCACAAATTCGCTCCACGACATGAAATGAAAACAAAAAAGACGTTAACTGGAGCAAAATTGCTCCACTACATGAATCAAAGACAGAACAAGTTACTAATCAACATTTAATATGATAGGGATAGGCTTCTATAGTATAAGTCAATCAAGCTCCAAATCAAGCACAGAAAAATAATTTGGCAGACAACCCTACCGAGTAAAGAACCGCCATCAACCGCATGTTGTCCTTTAAGCTCCAAGCACTTGTCTTTCCTTCCACAAAGAAAGATATGGCGGCAGACTGGATGGCCACAAAGAAGCAGTAGAAGAAGACTATAATCAACTCCGCTGGATATTTTTTCAGCACTGATGCCTGGAAGCATTAAGAGCAAAAGGCTACCTATTTAGACTCAATATGGTTTGACTAAGCGTGACGTCAAGCAAGTTTCGTCTGGACCTTACCTGTACAATGAGCCACGATGAAGTCATGACACAATCAGCTACAAGAAGCAAACCTCCTAGAACCCAGTTTGACTCTGGTGTCAGAAGTTTATGATGCAAATTGAAAACTTCAGTTTGCAAGTTTGAAAGAGAGGATGTCGTCACGATAGCTGGCCCCTTGTACAAAGTGACGATAAATGCACCGGCAATGCATACCATGGTTCCAGCACACTTGGCCAAGCTACTTGCACTGCTCCAGTCTAGTCTCTCCAATCTGGAGCACCGACCGCATAATTATTAATCAGCAGGCAAGACAACATGAAATTACCAGAGTACTCAAGTGTACCAATCTTTCATGTACTACCAAGGGAAGTGTGCATGGATGGTTATTCCAAAAAATCCAGTCTACCATTTTTGCACTCTAGCAGAAAAAAAGTTCAATGTTACATGTTCCCGGTCAGAATACCTTTCAAGGACCGTTTAATTTTTCAAGCCAAGAGAGGTGGTAGAATCCTTAGACCGGATACCAAGCATGGAAGCTATCGATTAGTACGAAGAAACCAAGAGCAACAAGCCAAACAACTTCACAGAATGGTCAACCCTTTAGTTTGTGATTCGATGTTTTCAGTGCAAGCTATGTAGACAAGAGCTTACTTATGGAACTGGTAAACGAGACAATCTACTTAGGAACTACATATTTAAGATAACTTTCCCAGCGTAATTTTCATCAGTTTACCTATTAAGTGGCGCCCCTAAATTCAGGAGCACATTACTGAAAGGTATTTGGATAAACTGATCTTTTGTATTACAGACATATTATACTCTCTAACCTAACTTAGGCTTCAGGAATCCAAGATATAAGCCGGAAGTGTTATTGTATTACGAACTTTATTTATCAAGGTATATGTGAAATAGGCGAAGTTTTACTTGAACATCCACTAGCTTACTACATTGGACAGGCGAAGAACAGAACAAAATAAAGAAGTACTAAGCCAATCATAACAACTATAGTGACCTGAAAATGACGGCAAGTATGAAGGTGAAAGCTGGGATGAGGTTGAGCAAGGCCGAGCCGAGCGTGGGCGAGCTGTAATTGATCCCAGCGTACCCAAGTATCTGTGCAGAGCAACTGTGAATAAGAAAAAAAGAAGAACAGAAAAGGGCAAACCCGGTATCAACGGGAATCCATTCAAACAGTGAGAATCGACTGAAAGACAAACGAAGGCGTGAAAAGATTTTCCCTATTCGAACCCAATTGAAGCCGTTCACTTCGAACTTACCCAAGGAGGCCGAGCACGAAGAACTGGAAAACGAGGGATGGAGTCAACGGAGGACGTTCCGATCTGCAAACAGCGGGGGGGAAAACCTCATAACAATCAACCAAGAAAGACACCGGTACCTCAAGATTACCACCAGATAGACAGGCATGCAACGAGAGAGACAGAGAGAGGACCTGTGGAAGAGGAGGGAGGCAGGAAGCAAGAGGAGAGAGGCGAAGGCGTTGGAGTAGAAGACGAAGATGAGGTTGCTCATGCCGTTGGACATGGCGGCTTTGCCCACGATCATGAGGCCGACCTGCGCGCACTCGGCCATCACCATCCCGGCGACCGGCGCGGCGAGTCTCGGCCCCATCTGGCCGTCGCGCCGCCGGCAACCTCAGCGGAGGAGGATGGCACTTGGAAAAATGCGTGCGTCGAGAGCGGAGCAAGAAGCGTCCTCGCTCTTGCGTTTGACTAACTAGCTGTTCTTGTCGACGTTCTTTCGGTGGAGCTTTCGGTTCGGTTTTGTAGTCTTCTGCAATATGATTGGTGCGATTCCAGCATCGTTTGGCTGAGAAATATGATTGGTCCGAGCGTGCGGGGCCGACACTTTGCATGAACGAGGAGCACTTCTCGGTAAAATGTTAATCTCAGCCGCTGAATCACCTGAGATCCACCTCGTTCAGACTGCTGATTTCACTGAGCTCACATGAACCCGCACCATATAATGAATTTGTTACGCTAAGTATGCACAAAACCAACAGATATAAATGTCGTAAAAATCTTAAAACTCATCGTAAAAGTGCGATTGAATCTTTTAAAAAGTGCAATTAAGTGTCAAATAAGTACAATCAAGTTTTTTGGTTAACTCGGTCCAATTTGACTGACAAAAAATGTTGACGTGGCTTTCTTTATTATTTTATCTTTCCTATGTGGCGTCCTACACGACATTAAGGTTAACTAAAGTACTAAAGCGGCATCGTTTTTATTCGAATCCTAATTTTTACGCAAAATCTTAATTAAATTAGATTAAAAAATCCAAAAAAAAATTTCCAAAAAAAAAGACCAACTAAAGAAAAAGCTGAAGTTAAAAAAAATAGAGAAAGGAGCAAAAAAAAAAAAAAACCACAGGTGGAAGGAGGGCCAAGCCCTCCACCTGTGGTCGCTGCCTCATCACCGGTGGGAAGTAGAGTTGTCAACGACCACGGGCGAGGGGTTCCTAGCCCTCGCCCGGTGACCTTCACTTAGATATGAAAGAGGGTCGATGACTCTTATTAAGGCCCACCAACCATCACCAACGCCCCATTGGTGATGGGGCGGCGGCCACTGGCTAGAGAGCTAGCTCTAGCCCTCCCGCCTTTAATTTTTTTTTAAACAACTTTTAGCTTTCTTATTGTTTTAATATAATTTAACTAATATTTATGTTTAAAACTAAAGTACTAAAACGATGTCGTTTTAGTTAACCTTAATACCACGTATGAGAGATAAAATATTAAAAAAAGTCACGTCAGCATTTTCCGTCAGTCAAGTTGGACGAAATTAACGTAAGCACTCAGTTGCACAAATTTGACAAATTTTAAGATTTAATTGCATTTTTCGCAAATTTTAATACTCAAATGCATTTTCGTGATAAGTTTTAGGACTTCTAGTTCACTTATCCCCAACCAAAATCTTATTGCATCAAAATTGATAGGCTGACCAAGAATTGACCAAACAAGTATGCTACTCTCAGTTTTACCTATACCCACTTTGTTTTTCTAAATGATCATTCTCTTAAACTTTTTTGTGTATTTTTTCCTCATTTTATGCATTTACTTAACATTCATAAACTCAAGTGTTTACACCAAAAAAATCACCAACTTTTGATTATTATTGACAAGTGATAGACTTAGTCAATGAAAGTAGAGTTTGGTCATTTATGAACAGAAAAACTGATAGCTTAAAGGTAATCGACAACTTGCCAGTAAAGTCATCAAGAACACAATATGAAGTTATCGACGAGAGTTTTGAAGTTTCTCGACAATAGCTGATGGCCTGAGGCGACCACGGCAGCTTACACGGTGGTGCCAAGAGAGAGAAAGGAGGAGGAGAAAAGAGGAAGAGATTTTAGAGTTTTATTTATTTTTCTTTAGAAAGGAGGTGAAGAAAGTGATACTAATAATCTAGGAAATAAAATGGGAGTTTAACCAGAAAAACGGAATAAAGATCGTGAAAGATACAACTTGAAGTCTCATAATGAAACTCAAAGGGCAAAAAATAGATTTTCAAAGGCGAGTATATATATACCCGTTTCACCGAAAATAAGAATGCATCTAAGTAGTGAAAAATCTCTCACTAAAAAGTTGATTCTTGATTTTTAATGGAAAAGAGTTCAATGGTGATCGTGGGCACGGATATGTTTGGCTTCCAAAGAGAAGATGAATAGTACATTCTATAAATAAAGTATTGGAGATAATAAAACAAGTGTTTGAAGATGAGAAGACATACTAATACATTGATAAAAAGACATTGGGAATTTGCATCTAGGAGATCAATTCTCTTTACAACGAATACTATGGGTATTTATGGCCTACTAACCATTATTACAACAAGCAGTTATCACTCTAAATGCAATTACAAGTGCACATTTTGCTATTTGTTCATTGACGATTATTGTCCACAAGAAGTTACATATCTCAAGGTCACTAGGACGCTCAACCGTCACTCTGCATTGGCGCCTCCATTTGACATACTTGATCAATGTATTCTCCTTTTTGGGTCCAACACTCGGCCGATAGCTGGTTACCTGTAGGCTTTGTCGATGAGTCATAATATTTGCTTAACATCTTTCCCTTCTTGTCGATATCAATAGCATGTAGTTACAGATGACCATATCATATGGTTGTCAATGTCCACGCCACAGTCGGAAATTTTTTTCGAATTCTTCATTTTTTCTGGTAATGCCCATACACTGGTATTTCCACATCTCTTCCCCGTCGGAATAATCAAATTCAAATTCATTTCAAAAAGACAAAAAGGGAACATCTATATAAATACATACACACCTTTGTCTTTTCACTTATGATTTTTTTTTTTTTTGGCCAAGAATATCTATACACTAGAAGCTTTGTTTTGGAGCAAAGGAATCTTATGGCTGGACGATGCCAAGCTCCCATCAACCCCACTGCCCTCGATTGTCTTCTCTTCCTCTTTAGACTTTCCCCACATTACCGCATAGAATCCCATCGCAATCACCATTGCTCCAATCAAGCTGCCAAAATCAAAAGGCAAAGTAAAGGACCGATCAGATATTTTTTCAACAACGAGCAAGTAATCCTCGTGCAACTCATTTTCCTACCCTTGACCTAGGTAAGTCCTGAAAGTGTTTCGTCTTTACTCTAAGACGCAAAATGCAGGGTATTCCTTGGAGTAAGAGAAGAAAAAACTATCCTCTAATGAAGGGGAGCTGGGCGTGCGGGCACCGGCACGTTAAAATAAAGAAAACAGTCCGGCTGCCAGCCACATTTGTGGACAAGCGCGGACAGCCCCTGCTGGTTGGAGAAAACCCCTAGTTTGGTGAGGTTACCAATGTAACCATTAACCAAGGATCCAAGAATAACTGTTTTGCTCATTCATGTATGCTTGTAAGGACAGAAACTCTGGTTTCTGGACAGAGAGTCCTTGGCAAATCTCCAGAGTTAGAGCATAACCATTTGGTTTAAAAAGTTAAACCGAAGAGCAAGGCGATTTATGTCTTATATCTTAAGAATAACTGTTGCTATGCTTGAGATGAGCTCATGAATGAGCTTTTTCTCTTATGAACACATCTTTCTTACTCTCTCTTAATCAACTAGATTCTTCATTATAGAAAGACATGGGGTATAGGCATTTCGATGGAGAAGAGGAGAGAGTAGTTGTACCTTCCAAGGTGTAGCTTTTCCCCTAGAAATATGAACCCCAATCCCACAGCAAATACAATTCCCAAGGGCTTGAATATGGAAACAAAGACAGGTCCAGTTTTCTTCAGGCACCATGTACACAATGTGACTCTAAAGACACCAGCAACCAGAGACTGCATTTACGATATCAATCTGAATTTTATCTTCAAACTCAAAGTAAACCAAAAATTTAGACTTTGGGAGTCGCGATATTATATGCTTACCGAGTATAAAATAGCGATCAAACCCATATTGACTTTTAGAATCCACGACTGCGGTTCTCTCACCATAATGAAGGACAATAGCCCGGAAAAGATAGTCGCAAAGAACATTAGATAGAACATTATGTTCATCACCACAGGGTAATCTTTGAGGATAAATGCCTGCAAGATTATAGATTTTTTTTGCTTGTCAAGTCTTTTTCCGCTTCGTTTTAATGTCATTCATATTCTTAAGAAAAAGTAGCGATTGTTGGTACTAACCTGTACAATGTACCACAATGACAACAAGAAAGCTTCCGCCGCAAGGAGCAACCCACCAAGAACCCAGTTCAATTGTTGGGAGAGAAGCAAGAGAAGGCGATGAGGATGGACAAAAGAAGGAGGCGAAGGTGAACGGAGCATCGTCGGACCCTTGTAGAGAGTGATTAACAACGCACCAAGAATTGATGCAATGGTTCCCAGAAGCTTAGCTTGGCTGCTTGTGCTTTTCCAATTCACTTTCTCCATCCTAATTATCAATTCATTAACAAATTAATGAGTAAGATAAGTCTATCTTGTGTCATTGTATGACATATCTTGCAGTGCTATGTTTTGCATTTCGTATGAATGTGCAGCCTCCACTTGCTGAAGCACTGGACTTTCCTGATTTTATTCAGGGATTCATTCATTCGCGGAGCAACTCTTTTTCTGGGAATTTTAGGGATCCAGCATCATCAGAAATAAGGTAAAAGAACTTCTCATAATCTCTGAGATTAAAGTGAATGTGTCCAGGCCTAATTGAAACAGGAACTATGGATTTTGCTTTGGTCAGACTTGATTTAAAGCACTCACAACTTCCCCATGATCCCCCCATGATCCAATCAACACACCATCATCTGCTTCTCTCAATTTTTTTCCAAATGAAGGTTCTTTAAGCGCGCTGCAGTAAACCAGCAAGAAGAGAGAAAGAACCAACCTTGAAATGATGGCGAGTATGAAAGTGAAAGCTGGGATGAGGTTCATCATGGCCGTGCCCAGCACAGGGGAGCTGTAATCGATGCCGGCATACCCGCATATCTGCGATGCGAATCTGCATCATCCAAATTACTAAAAAATTCACCCTGTTTTTCTTATCAAACTCTCAGCAGTATCATTAAGACCTTTCGCTTCAAAAGAATTCCAAGAAAAGCAAATCCCGAGTCTGCAAATTCATGTGCAATTGAGGAAACTTCACTCACTCACCCAACCAGAGCGAGCAAGAAGATCTTGCGAAGCACAGAGAAAGTGAGAGGAGGACACGACCCTGACCTGCCAAACAGAGCAAACAAACAAGTCCAGGACTTGAAACCTTTTCTTTCTATTTTTTGCGCCTTAAACCGGACAGTAACGGAGTCAGTGAGTGATAGACAGAGCACAAACCTGCGAGATATGATGAAGGGACAAGGAAGGAGGACGAGAGAGGAGAGGGCGTTACAGTAAAAGGCCAGGGTGTACTTGTTGAGCCCATCGGACATGGCCATTTTCGTCACCACCATGCTGCTCGCTTGAACCAGAACCACCATTATCATCCCCACGAACGGCAGGGAAACCCTGCTCGCTCTCCCCTCCATCTCTCTCTCTCTCTCTCTCTCTCCCTCTCTCAGTTTCGTGGGTTAACAATTGGAGGACTCCACCGAGGCTTTCCTACGTTTTGCGGGACCGCCATTGATTTGATGCTTCAATTTGACTACAAAAACCGATGGAATCCAAATTTCTCCCCCAAGTTTTGATGCGCTTTAATATTTTAATAGCTTGCCAGCCAGTATGTATAGCTTTTAATAGCTTGCGAACGAGAGGACGACTTCAACAACAATGAAAAGAACGAAGGCTAATATTTTCTCGTATTGCATAGGCGGGCCACGCCATGTCACCACGGGACACCGGACCATTCAGCAATTGACACGCGGCGCCAAGTGGCGCAGGTGGGCCCCACGGATGAAGCCTCTCTCTCTCTCCACTGTTCATCTTTCTGAATCCGCAACTTTTTGTCACAAAAAACACTAATTAGATCCGGAAAAGAGAAAGGAAAAGAAAATAGAAAGCCGGTTCTGGCCGTCCCGCCAAGATATGGTCACTAGTCGGGGGGATGTTAAAATTTGACGCACAATCACCAAGAAATAGAGAGTAAAAGTAAAAAAAGAAAATCGAGACACAAAATTTTTATCTTGGTTTACCCTTAAATTAGGGCTAAGTCCATCGAAAGATTTTATTATAATTGTCACACCACACCTCTACTGTCAGAGATATTTATGAGCCCAAATCCAAACTACCAATAAAATACAAGCTCAAAATGTATATAGGTAACGGGAGCGGGATCTACATGCCTTCCTGTCGAAAGGAAGTATGAACCACTACCCAACAGTTGGTGCCTGCCCTGTTTCATTTTCTCTCTCCTTCGTATACGTGCAAATCATCACGGCCTCTTTTATTTTTTTATGCATTCTCGTTTTTTTTTTCACAGTAATTGGTGGAAGAAGAGAATATTGGTGTTGAATTTCTGGAAGTTGTCGATCAAGATGATGATGATGAAGACTGCAAGGAAAATAAAAGCGAAGCTAATGCATTCCAACTGATTTTTTTTACCTTTCTCGACTCTTCTTTTCTGATTATTTTATTCTATTTTTGCTTTTGTTTGGGGTTGGAGGAGAACATGTATGTAGATATATAGATACGGATATTTGTACATTTTAACGTTTTGTGAGAAGCCGACAACGACAACCGGGATGGTGAAATCATCGGCTTTGCCGTCGACCGGAGAGGGTGCTGCAATGCCAACAGCAGGTCATCCAAGACCCTCTCCGAGGACAAAGTCCTCCGATGACCATGCGGGTTACCCATGAACAGTAGACAGAGGGACTTGAGATGAAAATGGTGGATTTATTATTGTTGGAAACAGATGCGGAAAAAACAAATACAGAACACGGGGATTTACGTGGTTCGATCACAACGTGATCTACATCCACGGGCGAGGCAAGACAAGATTCCACTATAATCAAAGACAGTACAATTTTCAGAAGTCGAAATAACGACAAAAAGCTCACGGCTCACAAAACTCTCCTGAAACAAAATTCTCTCTGTCCCTCAATGAGAAAACCTAGCCGCGGTATAAATAGTGCTCCCAAAAAAATTTCCTCGGGGGCTATGCCCCCGAACCCCCCAAAACATTTATTCGTTGCTCCAGCTTAGGTAAACCGCCATAAAAATTTGTTCACTTGCTACAAGTTGGGTTTATCGGCCCAACTCTCCGCGTCGCGAACTAAATCTCAATTTTCGGATCACACAAAAATATATCGGGTCGAGTGTTGAACCGGACCGAGAACGTAAAATTCAAGACATATTTAACAATTATTGAGGAAAATGAACAGGGAGAGAGGAAGAGAGGCTTCGTCCGTGAGTCTCACTTGCGCCACGTGGAGTCACGCGTCGGTTGTTGAATGGTCTAGCCCCGTGATGACAAAGATGGGCCTACCTATGCGATATTTCGTCCAAAGTGGGGGGCGAGCTTGATTGATGTGGCTTTTCTAAAGTTCATAATAAATAAAACATCAATGATTGCTATGACATAACGATAGTGGTAATGACATAACTACAAATATAGCTAAGCTGCTTTTCTTTTCTCGATAGGCACCTTCGCATCGGCCAACCCCGGATTGGGGTTTGTTTGTAGTTCATTATGGGTCTACATCTGCCACAGAGATCAGTTCACGTTTCAAAAAGGATCTGCCCGATCGTTTGCAGCATATCTTGTCAAGGAACCCGAAAATTCTGGAAAAATCTACTACTTCAGTTTTCCCATCGTTTTGCCGGCACCTGTTAATGGAGGGTTTTTCTTTACGATGAACGTGCAATAGGGTAGCGTCATCAGGGTCATCAACTGTCGGCATGATTTGTTTGCACGATACGATATGTAGTGAAACAAGTTTGGATTTGTCATAAACATGTGATCGTGGAGAAGCATAAATTCTAGAAAACATACTGATTAGTTCCGGTCCAGTTCCGGTTTCAAGATGCTGAACCGGACCCAACTGAATTCCAGGGTGCCGGTTCGATGCCTTTGCAGTTACATGTCTTTGGCATGGTCCCGGTCGAGACAAAAGAAGTTAGAAACCCCCAAAAGGAAGAAGGAACATGAGGATTTTATTGTTAACAGAAGCTTACGTCATAATTTTCCCATATTCATTTGAAACTTTCGTCTTCTCTCCCTAGTCGATCATTTGTTATTACCCTATCACTATCTTCCTTGGCTTGTTTTTTTCAATGCGCTGGAATTGTTGGATGAATCATTTTTCAGTTGGTTGGCAATTATTTGATCGGTCGCCCAGCAATTAGTAGAGAAAGAATGAAACAAAAATTCAAAAAATTATTTAAAAATGCAAAAAATATGTCTATGTCAGCACCAACCATCCTAGCAGTGCCACATAAGACGGTTGGCATCCACGTAAGCAATTGGCGGCTAAAATTGGTCGAAATAACTATATCGGCAAATCACCAAAAGATTTAGGATTAAATTGACTAAATCGAAAGATTCTAAACTAAATTGACATCCGTACAATAAGTTTATGATTTTTTTGATACTTATCCCTTTGGTGCATGTACTGAGTTTGATGAGATGAGTTGTTATATGAATTACTTATATTCAGTAAATGGGTCATAAGTGATTTAGAATGGTAAAATCCAAAATTATATATATTAAATGGTTTTAGACTTACTTACACACAATCCACCTCTATGACTCTCTGTTCACTCTGTCTTGCCATCATTCGATCTCGTACTCACTCACTCACTCTGTGCTCTTGCCTCAATTTGGGCATGAAGTTCTATAAATTTAGTTAAATATAAAAGTGATTTAGTAATATGGGTCGAGTCACGTATGGATCACTAAATCTGTATTGCATGGAAATAGGTAAATTTGAGTCGAACCATTTTTGACCCAACCCGACCCACCTGTTTGATGCATCTACTCAGTTCTAAGCTCAAGCTCAAGCTCCATGCCCAAATCGATGTTGAGTAGACCTAACTTTGGGCTATCATGGAAGTCGAGACCATCTTCGACCTTAGGTCGAAGGTCAGCTTGCGCGCGAGAGAGAAGGGGATGATGCTCGATAGCGGTGGAGAGTGTTGGGCGGAGAGGAGCCTCCAAAGATGACGACTCTGATAGAGTAGAAGACAATGACTGAGAGTGACAACAGCTGAGGCGAACCACGACAGCTTTCACGGTGGCACCAAGAGAGAGAAAGGAGGAGGAGAAAAGTGGAAGAGATTTTAGGCTCCGTTCGTTTGGCGGAAAATATTCTCCCGGAAAATATTTTTCGGGTTTTCAGGTGTTCGGGGGGCGAAAAACGTTTTCCGTGGGAAAATATTTTCCTTCCCCCCCTCACAAAATAGCCTAAGTCTACGGAAAATGACTTCCGCTATTCTTCAAAAGCGGAAATCATTTTCCGGAGCTTCTTCTTCTTCTTCTACACTAAGGTCGCCGGCCGCCGCCGCCGCCGGACGCCGGACGTTGGCCGTCGGTTGCCGGCCGCCACTGCCGCCGCCGCCGATCGCCGGCGAAAAATATTTTCCGAAACTTTTTCATATTGGTCGTCGAACACCGGAAAATTATGTTCCGGGAAAACATTTTCCAGAAAAATGACTTCCGAGAAAATATTTTCCAAAAGGAGAATATTTTCCGCCAAATGAACGGAGCCTTAGAGTTTGATACTAATAATTTAGGAAAGAAAATGGCAGCTTAACAAAAAACGGAATACGGATTGTGAGTGAAAGATACAAGTTGAAATCTCATAATGAAACTCAAAGTGCAAAATGTAGATTTTCAAAAGCGGGTATATACATTAATGTGTGTGCACCCGTTTCACCGAAAATGAGAATGCATCCAAGTAGTGAAAAATCTTTCACCAAAAGGTTGATTCTTGATTTTTAATGGAAATGAGTTATGTGGTGATTGTGAGCACGGATATGTTTGGCATAAATAGTAAATTCTATAAATAAAGTGTTGGAGATAATAAAACAAGCGTTGAAGATGAAAAGACATTGCAAATTTGCGTCTAGGAGATTGTTTCTCTTTACAACGAACACTGTGGGTATTTATAGCCTACTAACCACCGTTACAAGTAGTTATCACTCCAAGTGCTGTTACCAGGGCACATTTTTCGAGATTCCGGATGTACTATTTGTGCATTGACAATTATTATCCCACACACACCTAGCGGATGTGGCCAAGCCCTCGCCGGCGGCCGCTGCCACAGCCACCAGGAAGGGCTGGCGAAGGTCACATGGGCCTTTCCGAAGCCTAGCGACCCTCGCCGACCTTGGGTGAGGCCCCACTGGTCCCTAGCGACGGTCTGCATGCCCCGATCTGGGGGAGGGCGTGACCTTCACCCCAAATCTGAGTGAGGGGCAAGGTCACCGGCAAGGGCTGGCGAGGCCTCGCCTAGTGTTGTCCACCCCAAGTAAGGCCTCGCCGACCCAAGGCGAGGGTCGTGCCCTCCCCTAGATCGAGATTTGCAGGCCCTCGCCGAGCTTCGGGAAAGCCAAGGCAATCTCCGCCGGCCCTTCCTAACATCTGTGGTAGCGACCACCAACCCCACAGCCGATAGTTGCGTGTGTGGATTTGTTTTTTAGTTTAACTTTTAGCTTTATATCTAATTTAATTATAGTTTTTTATTTTTTTAACGTGGCTTTTGTTGGACACCACCTCATTGTCTCGTGTCTCAAGAAAAGTAATAAAATAAGACACGTAGCGTTTTCTGTTAGTCTAATTGGACGATTAACTTTATGACTTGATTGAACCAACTTGACAAGTTTTAGGACTTGATTGCAGCTTTCGCAAATTTTAAAATTCAATTGCACACACTTGAAGCTTTGTTTTGGAGCAATGGAATCTTATGGCTGGAGGATGCCAAGCTCCCATCAACCGTACCACTGCCCTCGATTGTCTTCTCTTCCTCTTTAGACTTTCCCCACATTAACGCGTAGAATCCCATCGCAATCACTATTGCTCCAATCAAGCTGCCAAAACCAAAAGGCAAGGAAAGTACCGATCAGATATTTTTCTAACAATTAGCAAGTAATCCTGGTGCAACTCATTTTCCTGCCCTGTTTTGCTCATTCATGCATGCTTGTAATGACAGAAACTCTGGTTTCTTAACAGAGAGTCTTTGGCAAATCTCCAGAGTTAGAGCATGACCATTTTGTTTTAAAAAGTTGAACCGAAGAGCAAGGCGATTTATGTCTTATATCTTAAGAATATCTGTTGCTATGCTTGAGATGAGCTTTTTCTCCTATGAACACATCTTTTTTGCTCTCTCTTAATCAACTAGATTCTTCATTATAGAAAAAGATGGGGTATAGGCCAATGGAGAAGAAGAGAGAGTACTTTGTACCTTCCAAGGTGTAGCTTTTCCCCTAGAAATATGAACCCCAATCCCACAGCAAATACAATTCCCAAGGGCTTGAACATGGAAACAAAGATAGGTCCAGTTTTCTTCAGGCACCATGTACACAATGTGACTCTAAAGACACCGGCAACAGCCTGCATTTACAATAGTAATATGACTTTTATCTTCAAACTCGAAGGGACCAAAAATTTAGACTTTGGGAGACACGATACTACATGCTTACCGAGTATAAAATAGCGATCAAACCCGCATCGACTTTTAGAATCCACGATTGCAGCTCTCTCACCATAATAAAGGACAATAGCCCAGAAAGGATAGTCGCAAAGAACGTTAGATAGAACATTATGTTCATCACCACAGGGTAATCTTTGAGGATAAATGCCTGCAAGATTGTATATTTTTTTTTCGCTTGTCAAGTCTTTTTTGCTTCGTTTTAATGTCATCCATATTCTTAAGAAAAAGTAGGGATTGTTGGTACTAACCTGTACAATGTACCACAATGATAAAAAGAAAGCTTCGGCGGCAAGGAGAAACCCACCAAGAACCCAATTCAATTGTTGGGAGGGAAGCAAGAGAAGGCGACGAGGATGGACAAAAGAAGGAGGCAAAGGTGAGCGGAGAATCGCCGGACCCTTGTAGAGAGTGATTACTAATGCACCAAGAATTGATGCAATGGTTCCCATAAGCCTAGCTTGGCTGCTTGAGCTTTTCCAATTCACTTTCTCCATCCTAATTATTAATTCATTAACAAATTAGTGAGTAAGATCAGTTTTGCGTTTCGTATGAACGTGCAGCCTCCACTTGCTGAAGCATTGGACTTTCTTGATTTTATTCAGGGATTTATTCATTCGCAGAGCAACTCTTTTTTTGGGAATTTTAGGGATCCAACATCATCAGAAATAAGATCATAGTACGTCATACAAACTACTCATAGTCTCTGAGACTACAATGACACTTACATAGGAAGATGGGAAGTGAATTAAGGGGTAGCAAAGTGAATCTCTCGGGGCCTGGTTGAAACAGGAACTATGGATTTTGCTTTAGTCAGACTTGGTTTAAAGCACTCACAACTTCCCCATCATCCGCTTCTCTCATTTTTTTCAAATGAAGGTTCTTTAAGCGCACTGCAGTTAACGAGCAAGAAGAGAGAGAGAACCTTGAAATAATGGCGAGAATGAAAGTGAAAGCCGGGACGAGGTTCATCATGGCCGTGCCCAGCACAGGGGAGCTGTAATCGATGCCCGCATATCCGCATATCTGTGTTCCGAATCTGCATCATCCAAATTACTTCAATATTCACTACGTTTTTTGTATAAAAGTCTCAGCAGTTGACTTTTGCTTCAAAAGAATTCCTAGAAAAGAAAATCCCAAGTCTGCAAATTCATGTGAAATGAGGAAACTTCACTCAACTCACCCAACCAGAGCGAGCAAGAAGATCTTGCGAAGCACGGAGAAAGTGAGAGGAGGACACGACCCTGACCTGCCAAACAGAGCAAACAAACAAGACAAGGACTTGAAACCTTTTCTTTTCTTCTTTTTTTTTGGCCCTTAAACCAGACAGAAACGGAGTCAGTGAGCGATAGACAGAGCACAAACCTGCAAGATATGATGAACGGAAAAGGAAGGAGGATGAGAGAGGAGAGGGCGTTACAGTAAAAGACCAGGGTGTACTTGTTGAGCCCATCGGACATGGCCATCTTCGTCACCACCATGTTGCTTGCTTGAACCAGAACCACCATTATCATCCCCACGAACGGCAGGGAAACCCTCCTCGCTCTCCCCTCCATCTCTCTCTCTCTCCGTCTCTCTCGGCGGTTAGATAATTGGAGGACTCCACCGAGGCTTTCCTACGTTTTGCCGGGGGGACAACCATTGCTTTGATGCTTTTACTTGAATTTAAAACTGATGGAATCCAAATATCTCCCCCAGCTTTTTGATGCGCTTCAATATTTTGATAGCTTGCGAACGAGAGGACGATTTTAACAACAATGAGAAGAACGTGGGCGAGCTTCATTGATGTGGCTTTTTTTAAAGTTTACAATAAATTAAACATCCATGATTGCTACAACATAATGATTCATCTGTTGGCACCATCCCTTTACGCGATACGATACGATACGTAGTGAAACAACTGTGAATTTGGCATAAAGGGGTAACCGCGGCGAAGCACAAGTTCTAGGAAACATACTAAATCTTGTAAGAAAATTTAACTGTGTGTACAGTTACTGCTGTAAGAAAACGGGCGGGGTGTTTTGAGGTGTGAGAGCAAGAGAAGTCAAATAGTGTCTTGGGATTTTAACAAGCCTGTGATGGGTGTCGTGTTACGATAGTTAAAAAGAGAGAAGTTTCTAAGCTCTTGCCTAGACGTGTGCGTGTTCACAAAGTGATTGCTTTACATGAATTTAGTTACCTTCGGCAAACCATCCATTGAACAGTTGTTTCTTTGCAATGAGTGCACTTTATCCACGGAACTAAAAGTTGTTTGGTTCCACTCCCCCACGGTTAGTTGGGATTGGGAGGCCTAAAGCCCCTGATTTTCTACTACGGCCGGAAAAGGGCTCGCGGTTTTTTCTGCCATCTAAAATCCACAAAATTTCTTTTCCTTTTTGCCTAAAAACACCCGGGGTATTGTAGCATCCCAAGCACACCCCTTTCAAGATTTATCCTCTAATCCTCATTAGTCATTAGATTATTTGCAAGCGAAAGATGCTTCTTTTTAAAGATTGGCATTTATAACATGAATGTAACATAGAAACGCAGAAATGCTAGGACACGCAAGTTGCGAAAATAACATTCATCTTTCACATAATAATGAGGGTGATACAAGAGTGAGTTCAAAAACACGGGGAGACTACCCAACAACTCCAACCCGGCTATCCTACTTCGACCCACCAAGCTTAACCAAAGACAAACAAGTTATCACCCATCCCTACACGACTCTATCCCCAAAAACTAACTAACAGTCGTGTCTTCAAAAAAATTACTCCTTCCTCCTCCTTGATGCTGTCCTCAAAAGATCCCGCTACTAGCATTGCCATCATCTCCGTCCGGCCCATGGTATGGAAGGGGCCCCACCAACCGTCCCCCATCGAGGGCATAAACCCCGACGAAGCCCAAAAGAACGAGTCCCTCTGGGGACCCAATATTTACGGTCAGAATGGAAATGCATTTTATGAAAACAAGTTCAGGGAACTCCGCGGTCACGAATTCAAATAGACGGCTTTCAAAATCAACTGGCACCCCGTAGCTTATCGAGGTAGAGGTAGGGAGGATCGGCATACTACTAGTCTGAAAAAGGTGTCAACAACAAATAGTGAGCGGAAACTCAGCCAAGTAAACTCTATCACGCCATACTAAACGGATAATGACAGGCGTTTCAATTGAGTCAAATAGATAGGCAGATGAACCAATTCACAACCAGCTATAATATATAAGACTCCTTTTTTATTTGGACATAAATCACCAGACAAAAGATTACCAATCGACCAACAGTCATTCACATGAATTCTCCTTACATGCGTTATGTGATCACAAGCAGTTTTAATTCGCATTTGATTTAGTAACTCAAGCTACAACATCCTCCGGGGAACCCAGTTACCCCTCCGGGCATCTCGTACCCATCACGGCATCACGAGGACATCTGGGGAACCGTGTTACACCCCCAGGCAACCGAGGGAACCCCGTTACCCCCTCAGGCTTCTCGCACCTACCACGGCGTCGCGAGGACATCTAGGGAACCGTGTTACACCCCCAGGCAACCGAGGGAACCCAGTTACCCCCCGGGCATCTCAACTCCGGGGCATCATCGTCATGGGGACCGACGGAACAATTACACTTACAAGCCCACACGTCTCAATATACACAGTACATCAAATTTAGAGATGTCATTTACAATTTCTAATGCAAGGAAAAAATCTCATCAGCAAGTTCAGAGCGTGTACATTACCTCTCCCGAAGACATCAAATCAAAATTCCAAGGCTTCCAACTAAGAAATAATGAAACTTTGGATTCTGGCAAAACTGGACAGTTTTGCATGACTTGAGAAATCAATTTCAAAGGCATAGCAAATGAGTTCCAAAAATTCTGAAATTTGAACATGTTATAAACGAGACCTTAACACTTATTTTTCCTGAAGAACACAATCCCAAAATCCTCCTGGAAAGGGAACTTTTGAGGGCACGAAAATAGACCAGAACTGGTCCGTTGAAACAGTGACACCGAGTTACAAAGAATGCTCTTTTCATATAACAAATGATGTCTAAACACCTTGAAATTTTTATATGTTGTACAAAAGGGACTATGAACAAATTTTTGTGAAGGAAGTGTGACCAAATTCGAAGTGGGTATTTTTATAAAAATTCGAGAATGTATAGAGGCCGCGGCTTCCACGGTAAAAACAGTTCTGACCCGGTAAGGAATTGGGCCTTGGTAAAATCCATTTGACCTCAGAAAAATATGAAATTTAAGTATGTTATACATCAAGATCTTCTGAACAACTTTTATGAAGAACACTTCGTAAGATTCGGTCCACACAAGGCGGTACAAAAATAGAAAACCAGGAACGTCCAGAAGGGTCCGATCTGGAATCCGTGACACAAATTCCAGAAATGTTTTTCCAACTTCAGATCTGCCACTTCCCAGCCAAGAAAACATCAACCCAAGAGTTCAAAACAACATGCAACATCATTTCCAACTTAATCTAGCTATCTAGATCCACCAAAAATCGTTCTAGGGGTTTGAATACACAAGACCAGCAACTACGCCACATATCGCCCTCTCCTTTCGCCCTTCCAGCCACCTCAACGGCTCATCCAAGACCCAAACCGACATGCAACCATTATCGAGGTTAGTATAACGTCATAGAGAGTACTTGCCTTGCTGGTGAGAGTAGTGGCTGCAGCGTGGGGCTTGTGTCCGAGGCGGGGAGAACGGCACGGCGGTGAAGCGAGGGGCTGGCTGCTGCCGCTAGTTGCGGACGGAATAGGGAGCAGCAGCTGCTGGTCATTGAACAGGCGGGCTCCCGGGCGGACAGAGAGAGAAACAAGAGAGTGTGAGCTGAGGCGAGAGAGAAACAAGAGAGGGAGTGAGCTGAGGCGAGAGAGAAACAAGAGAGGGAGTGAGCTGGGCGAGAGAGAGAGCTGAGCGAGAGAGTGAGAGAGCCAGCTGAGGGGTGAGCAGAAGGGAAATGCACTTCTCGGATGGCCCTTTAGCTCCCCTTGCATGCATGGGCATGCATGGTGACACTTGGCACCTTTCTCTTTCCAATTGTAGAGGGAAAAAGAAAGTCTAGTGCCCCTGCAGCTTTCTTGCGTGCATGGCTTGCATGCAGGAGAAAAGACAAGATAGAACAAGACAAAAGGAAGAAATGAAGAGGTTTGGGGGCTGCTGGCGTGATGGGGTGAAGTCCCAGCGGAAAAAGGGGAAGAAAAGAAGAGGGAAGAAAAAGAACAGAAAGAAAGAGGAAGAAGAGAGGGGCAGTCGATGGGGTGATTCTCTGGCGTGGCCAAGGGAAAGATGGGGAAGGAAAAATGGCGGCGACGGGTTGGCACAGGATCGGGGCGTGCGGACGACGCGACGTTGGGTTAGTCGGCTCGACGGTAATTGATCCCAAGAGTCCAAACTCGCGATTCAGAAAAAAATGATAATCGCGACGCTAAACTCCCAATTTCATTTTCCTAATTTCCGTCGACGAGCGCCCTAATCCATTAGGGTCCTTTAATATTTGGCCATGAAATTTCAGGATGCCACAGGTATGCACTGATCTTGGTAGATCCTGAAACCGGACCGAACCGGCCCCATCCGATCAGTTCTCGTCCAGTTTCCGATTCCAAGATGCTGAACTGGATCTGAGTCGGTTCCATCGTGCTATTTCAATGCCTTTGCAGTTGCATGTCTTTAGCATGGTCCCGGTCGAGACAATAGAAGTTAGAAACCCCCGAAAGGAAGAAGGAACAGGAGGATTTTAGTGTTAATAGAAGCTTATGTCATAATTTTTCCATATTCATTTGAAAGTTTCGTCTTCTCTCACTAGTCGCTCACCTGCTATATACCCTATCACTGTCTTCCTTGGCTTGTTTTTTAAATGCGCTGCCACTATTGGATGAATAATTTTTCAGTTTGTTGGCAATCATTTGATCGGTCGCTCAGCATCCGGCGGAGAAAGGAAAAAAAGGAAAAATTATAAAAATTATAAAAATTATAAAAAATAATTTGGAAAAATTTAAAAATGCAAAAAATTTGTCCATGTTAGTTCCGGCAGTCCTAACAGTGCCATGTAGAATGGTCGACGCCAACGTAAGCAATTGCCAGCCAAAATTGGCCAGAATGACTATATTGACAAATCGTTAAAAGGTTTACGACTAAATTGGCCAAATCGAAAGGTTTAAAACTGAATTGGTATTCGTACAATAAGTTTACGACTTTTTTAGTAATATCTCTCTAATGGATATTCTAAGTTTCGTCAAATTTTCCTTACTTCTTTATTGATTTTATGGTACTTCATTCAATAGATTCATTACATTTTCATGGAGCACGCTCAATAATATGTATGCTTTGTAGGGCATTACTTTATTGACAGTCCAATCAAAAAATTTATTACGTGCGATCGCGTGCGCACACAGATATCTTGATTGTGGAGTACTATGCTTATTTGGGATTCACTGGGCTAGATGCTCTTGTTTTCGCCCCGGATTTATCTTCAAGGCATATTAATTAAGCATACTCAACTCAAGTTCACTAAAATCGATTATTTATTCCCATTAACAAAATCTTTTAATTAGTATTGCATACCCTCTCTCCAAAGAATTCATATAGGCTCTGTCATAGTCTCCTCGGATTGTAAAAGAGTCGTAAAATATAATTGAAAGAGAATCTCTGGTTTTTGCCTTTCTATGGCCGCTTGAGCTAAATAGCAATGTGTGCAGCAAATATTCAGTGCTCCGTTTTAATGGCCCAGAGATTCTGAAATCGCAACGCTTGGATATTTGGGTGGCTCGTGAAATTTTGGAAAACCCTAGTTAAATACATGCATGGAGCGATAGTCATCCGAGAACTCAGAACGGGTATACCGGTTTGGAATTTTTTGCGATAAAAAATTGAGTTTTGAGTAAATTTATCACAGATATACCGGTTTGGGGTTTTTCGTGATATTGACCTAAAAGTTTAAGACTAAATTGGCATCATTGAAATGTTTAGATTTGAATTGACATACGTACAATAGTATAGATCATGACTTTATTGGTAATTTTCTCGTTTTGAATGTGTTCCCGGGTGATCGGCTTTGTCTTTTCGGTGTTTCTTTTTTTCCTTCCTCCGAGCAATCCTATCATCTCTGCATTTTCTCTCATCATTCGTTTCAAAAACCTTCCGCTGCTCCCAACCTCCGATTACTTTCTGCCAGGGCCGCGTTTTCCGTTGGAACCACGGCACCACGGCGATTTGCATCAGTGAGACAATGCACTCTCTTTTTCTCAATCTGCCCAAGTTTCTCTAAGGTTGTCATTGTCCGCTCGAGTTTCGATTTTGTCCGTAATGGTGAATCCGCGATTGTTTTTCTTCTTCTCTGTTTTCTTTGGTGGCCAAAGGCGTGGAGAAGACGAAGGCGGAGAGGGAGAGGCGAAGAAGCTTATGGTGGAAGGGAAAGCGGATGCCGCGGAGCTTCACGAGAAATCGCCGGAGAAGGCGAAGAAGAAAGTTGGAGTTGGTGTCTCCACTACCCAAGATAGTCACGAACGTTATCCAAGTTCTTCATTTTTCATAACGCGCCTATATAGGCATTCCCACATCTCTTTCACCTTGGAATAGTCAACTAGAATTCATTTCGGCAAAAGACAAAAGGGAACATCGCCTGTGATTATGTACAAACCTTTTTGTCTTTTTGCCAAGAATATCTACACACTTGAAGCATTGTCCTGGAGCAAAGGCATCTTATGGCTGGAGGATGCCAAGCTCCCACCCACCCCACCGCCTTCCATTGTCTTCTCTTCCTCTTTAGACTTCCCCCACACGACCCCGTAGAATCCCATCACAATCACTATCGCTCCAATCAAGCTGCCGATATATAAAAGAAAAGGCAGAAAAGAAATTAACCTAAAGAGTATGGCGATTGTAGTTTATATCTTAAAGGATATATGTTGCTGTTCTTGAGATGAACTCATGAAGGAGCTTTTTCTCTGATGAACACAGTTTTCATTATACCTTTTAATCATCAGATTCTTGGTTATAGGAAAAGATGGGTATAGGCATTTCGATGGAGAAGAAGGGAGAGTACTTATACCTTCCAAGGTGTAACATTTCGCCAAGAAATATGAACCCCAATCCGACAGCAAATACAATTCCCAGAGGCTTGAACATGGAGACATAAACAGGTCCAGTTCTCTTCAAGCACCATGTGCATAAGGTGAGTCTAAAGACACTAGAAACCAGAGCCTGCATATACAATAGTAGGGTGACGTTTGTTTCGCTCAAAAGGAAAATATTTTTCACAGAAATCATTTGCAAGGAAAACTGTTAGTTTTCATTTGTTTAATGATTTAGGGAAAGTGTCTTATTTCTTACTAAAAGAGAAAGTCATTTTATCCCAATCTAAGCTTGTTGTTTTCAGTTTATGGAAAACATTTTCTATAAATCGATTAGTTTTTTTCCATCATTCAAATACTCGAAAGTCTGAAAAAAAATTTCCTGGAAACAATTCTCCTTCAAACAAACGAACTCTTAACACTGCTTTTACCTTCAAACTTGAAGTCGGACCAAAATCTAGACTTTAAGAATCGCGGTATTATGCCTTACCGAGTATAAAATAGCAATCAAACCAATGTCGACTTTTAAAATCCATGACTGTGGTTCTCTCACTATAATGAAGGACAATAGCCCGGCAAGAATCATCTCAAAGAGCCATTTATAGAACATTATGTTCAGCACCACGGGGTAATCTTTGAGGATAAATGCCTGCAAGATTCAAGATTTTTTTGACGTTTTAGTGTCATTCAAATTCAAAGAAAAAAGTAAGGATAATGGTGCTAACCAGTATAATGTACCATAATGATACCAAGAAAGCCTCGGCCGCAAGGAGAAACCCACCAAGAATCCAATTCGATTGTCGCGAGAGAAGAAGAAGAAGGTGATGAGGTTGGACATAAGAAGGAGGTGAAGGTGAGTGGAGGATCGGTGGACCGTTGTAAAGAGTGACTACTGATGCACCAGCAATTGATGCAATGGTTCCCACAAGCTTAGCTTGGCTGCTTGAGCTTTTCCAATTCACTTTCTCCATCCTAGTTTTTAATTCAATCAACAAATTCAAGAATAAAATAAATTTATCTGGTTTCATTGGATGACATATCATGCAGTGCTATCTTTTGTGTTTCGTATGAACGTGCAGCCTCCATTTGCGAAAGCTCTGGGCTTTCTTGATTCTGTCCCATTTCAGGGATTTAATCATTTGCAGGAGCGATCCAGCATCATCACAAGTACTGGTTATAGAACTATTCTAATCTCTGAGATTAAGAGGACAGATGCACAGTAGATGATTATGAATTACGTGGTAGCAAAGTGAATCTCTCTGGGCCTGGTTGAAACAGGAACTCTGAATTTTGCTTTGGTCAGACTTTGATTAAATGCAATCACAACTGTAAGTTGAATCGAACCCCCGTCATCCAGTTAACAAGCCATCATCTGCTTCTGTCATTTCTACAGATAAAGTATGTTTAAGTGCACTGCAGTGAATGAGAAAGAAGAGACAAAGAACCTTAAAATAACGGCGAGAATGAAAGTGAAAGCTGGGATGAGGTTCATCATGGCCGTGGCCAGAACAGGGGAGCTGTAATCGATGCCCACATACTCGCTAATCTGTGCTCCGAATCTGCATCAACAAAATTATTCAAAAATCCACTTAGTTTCTTTTATGAATTTCTCTGCAGTTGATTAAGACCTTTTGCTTCAAACGAATTCCAAGAAAAGCAAATCCCAGGTCTGTAAATTCATGCGATATGAAGAAACTTCACTCGCTCACCCAACCAGAGCGAGCAAGAAGATCTTGCGAAGCACGGAGAAAGTGAGGGGAGGACACGACCCTGACCTGCCGAACAGAGCAAACAAGCAAGTCAAGGACTTACAGCCGTTTCTTCTTTTCCCCTTAAACCAGACAACAACGGAGTTAGTGAGCGATATAGACAGAGCACAAACCTGCGAGACATGATGAGGGGAAAAGGAAGGAGGACGAAGGAGGAGAGGGCGTTGCAGTAAAAGACCATGGTGTACTTGTTGATCCCATCGGACATGGCCATCTTCGTCACCACCATGTTGCTCGCTTGAGCCAGAATCACTATGATCATGCCCACAAACGGCAGAGAACCCCTCGCTCTCCCCTCCATCTCTCTCCCCTCTCTCACTGTCTCCTCCCAGGTTCGTGGGTTAACAAGTGGAGGACTCCACTGAGGCTTTCCTACGTTTCGCGTGGGGGCGCAGCCATTGATTTGATGCTTTTATTTGACTTTAAAAATGATGGGATCCAAATATCTCTTTTGGTGTGCTGTGCCTTAATTGCTTGCGAACCTGGAGAGGTAAATTTTGTCAGCAATAAAAAGAACGAAAGCGAGCTTGATTGGTGTCGCTCTTTTGAGTTTCAAGTATAGTAAAACTTGCTAATGATGTTGATGTTGATGTTGATGACCAACTATAGTTCTGCTGCTTTCCTTTTCTCAGCGGTTGTCTCTAGTTCATTTTTTGGTCTGCATCCGCGAGCATAGATCAGTTCCCGTTTCGAAAAGGATCTGTCCAAATCATCTGCAAAATATCTTGCCAAGGAACCTGCAAATTCCGGGAAAGTTCCATTGTTTTGCCAGCATCAGTTTACGAAGGATTTTCCTTTATGGTGCATGCACATGGGGTGGTGCTTCTAGGTTACGTCCGCTGCACGGTGTAATACTGGAGTGATCGACTCTCGATACGACCTGTTTGCACGACACGAGACGTAGTTAAAACGGATTCAGATTTGGCATGAATATGTAAGAGTAGAGCAGCAGTTTAGACAGACATAAATTTTCTTAAAATAGATTATGTATAAAGCACATGAAAATATAAGAGTTTTGCAAGCAAATATAGCTTAGCTATACTTATAATTACTCTTGTAAGAAAACGGGCGGACTGTTCTGTACGTGTTTAAAGTTGCCACCCGTAAAACATCCATGGAACTCCAAGTTGTTTTGGGAGGCCTAAAGCCCACAATTTCTTCTTCTTTATTGCCCAAAAAACCCCCCACAAAGTTCAATTATTTTCTGATCAGATGTACTGTCATTGATCATTTCTTCTTCTTTTTTTCACTTCTCTGTGATTCATCGGGTATATTTGTTACACTTTCAAGGATTACGCTGAAGAATACGTATGCTTCAAGGGTTCTATTAATCTCACTGTACGTGCGTGCGCGCACGGCAGAGAAATCTTAATTGCTGAGTACTTCGCTTATTTGGGATTCTCTAGAAGGTTGGATGCTGCTATTCCTACTCTAGATTTATTTTCAGGACGGATTAATTAAGCGAATTCGGGTTCACTTGAAGCGATTATCTGTTCAGATCGACAGCATCTTTAAACTAATATCGTATTCCCTCTCTCAAAAGATGTAACTCGAGCTCTAGTCTCAGCCGAGGAGCAAAAGAGCAACAGGTATTCAACGTTCCGTACTGGTGTCCCCATTGAAAGGGCGCGACCGCCACTTGACCCGGCCATGCACGGACGGGGGGCGACCCACCCGCCCATCTCGAGCGGTTTTGACCCGGCCCAACTGACCTACGTGGGCCGGGGAGGAAAGCCCACATGAGGCCCAATGCGAAGTGCACATCTGCATACATCGTCACCTCCGCATCACATTACAATTTACATACATGCGCTACACGCGCACTCCTTCGCATTCCCCATTCCCTCTCCCTGCAGTTTCCCTCTCTGCACAGCGGCGACGCTGCGAGTGTTCGCCATGGGCGAGGTGAGTCGACTCCCTCGAGTTCTCGCTTCTTCTTCCTCCTCTTCCCCTTCCTCTTCCTCTGCCGTGCTCGTATCTTTCTCTGCTCCGTCCGACGATCGTGCCGTTCGGAAATGTGGTGTGTTATGACGGGACTCGTGTCATCCTCGGTTGCTTTTGCTTGCGCAGAAGAACGATGGAGGCGACGGGACGGTCAGAGGAGCAGGAGGAGGAGGAGGAGGTAAGGCGGCCAACGACCAGAAGAACGGGCATGTGGTGGTCGTCTTGAAGATGGACCTGCATTGCGGAGGCTGCGAAGCCAAAATCGACAAGTTCCTTAAGAGATTCCCAGGTTTGGTTTTATGCACCGTCCATACTGCCTTTTTCTTTTCTTTTCTTTTCTTTTGCCCGGTTCAGCTTGGGGTTCTGAATGTGTTCCCGGGTGATTATCTCTGTGTTTTTCTCTCGTCGTTCGTTTGGAAAAACCTTCGGATGTTCTCGACCTCCGGTTACTCTCCGCCATCGCTTCGTTTCCGATGACACATCAGTGAGCTGATGCGCACTCTCTGTTTTCTCATTATCTGCTCCGGTTTCGCTCGCGGGTTGTCGTTATCTGCTCGAGTTTCCGGGTTTCTGTGTGTAATGTTGAATCGAGGATTGGGTTCTTCTGTTTTTTTTTTCTTTTTCTCTGTGAGCGAAGGTGTGGAGAAGACGAAGGTGGAGGGAGGGGCGATGAAGGTGACGGTGGAAGGGAGAGTGGACCCCGCGAAGCTTCGCGAGAAACTGCAGGAGAAGACGAAGAAGAAAGTGGAGCTGGTGTCTCCGCTGCCCAAGAAAGTGAAGGACCAGGCCAACAACGAGAAGAAGGAGAAACCCAAAGAGGTGAATCGACTTTCTCTTTTTCATTTTTTTTTATTTCTCTGTGGATTCAGCGTATTTCATGCGATCGTTGCCTCGAATCTGCGCCCTCGTTTCGGCAAATTCCATTGTTGCTCTCTTGTAGTGTCGCTCCTGTTTTCTGTTCTTTCTCCTTTTGGGTCTTTCGTAAACTTCAAATCAGAACTGAATGCAAGACTGAAGTGTTTGCTTGGTCGTCAAGTCTTGGTGCCATGTGGGGAATGCAAGCAATTTAGGAAACAATGAATTGCCCCAGCAACGCTTTTCCAATTTCTATTGATAAGCTTGCTTGCTGCGTTTGTTTAGTTCCTTTCTTCGGTTTCAATTGAATGTACATTGTCCATGAACATGAACGTGTCCCGGTGTACAATTCTTTGGGTGCAGCCTCCGGTGACGACGGTGGTTCTGAAGTTCAGTTGCCTCCACTGCGAGGGATGCATCCAGAAGATTCGCAAGATAATCACAAAAACAAAAGGTTGTCTGTTCTACAATCCATTTGCGTGATCATACCCAATTTCCATTCTTCTTTCTTTTTCTTTTTTTTCTGGCGAAGGATGTTCATGATGGTGCTTGTGTTAAAAAGCTTTTGGAACTGCGACCGCGCAGGCGTTCTCGACGTGGCCTTCGACAGGGACAAGGACACGGCCACGGTGAGGGGGGCCATGGACGCCAAGGCGCTGGCCAAGAGCCTGAGGGAGCAGATGAAGAGGGCGGTCGAAATCGTCCCGCCAAAGAAAGAGAAAGAGGGTAGCGAGGCCAAGGGCAAGGAAGGCGGCAGGAAGAACGAGAACGTCGGCGGCGGCGGCGGCCCTAACAAGGAGATCAATGGCTGGTGGGAGAAAGTGGAAGGCCAGCGAATGGAGTACCAAGGGCCATACGGGTACGGATACGGGGGCGTGTATTGGGAGCCAATGCACTTGCATGCGCCGCAACTGTTCAGCGACGAGAACCCGAATGCTTGCTCCGTCATGTGAGCCGAGCCAAAACAAGAGAAATCAGGGTAAATAAGGGGAGAGGATACTGTAAAAAAGAGCGAAACGTCGATGAGTTTGAGGAGGTGAAGATGTGACCTGACCAATGCCTAGAGTTGGTCAAATTTCAGGAAATCGTTTTACCACTTTCCTTTTTCTTTTGTGGCATTTGGAACGCGCTATACGGTTCGGTTCGGTTGATTTGGCTGGTTTTGCCTTCTTTTTGGTTTGCTTGTTCCCTTTACTTCTTGCCCATTTGTTGGTCCTGGCTGAGAAATCGCATTGGTAAACCGACCTAAACGAAACGACACTGTGCATACTTTTCATATGTATATCAAGTTTAGTACTGTAGGAATCATTCCATAGCGGGAATTGCAGCGAGAGCAGACGGCGGGGCAGGACCTGTAAAAAACTGCGGAGAGAGATTTGTGTGCGGGGATGCAGAGGAAACGAATAGAAAAGTAGCTTCCCTTTTTACATGGGGGCTGTGGCATGTGTCGCTCGGCTCATTCCCTCCCTCTGACACATTACCTATTTTATTTTATTTTTGGGTTCTTTTTGTTTTGTAATGAATAAGAAGGGAAAAAGAAATAGAACCCACGTTGGTCGAAGTAAGTGAAGATTGTGGTAACCTTAAAAACACACGAAATTGATTTTTCCTATGCAAAATTCGCATACTAAGAAGGCCACAAAGGCTAATGGCCTAAGTCACTAAGGTCGGTGAACAACGGGCAGCATTTCTAGGATGATCTCTTTCAAATTTGTGTGTTTATACATAAATATGTGTATGTGTATGTATTTAATTTTGCTTTTAAAATTGGCCTCCTCGACTTAATTTTGGAGGGACGTAAGAGTCGTTCTTAATGGATGGGGGTAAGAGTTCAGAAGAAAGCACCACCCTGTCCTTACTGGCCATAAAGCCTGTTGTGCTACCCCCAAGTACCTTTTCTTTTTCTGTTTTTTCTTCTTTTTTTGGGTCCCAATAATAAAACAAAAAACATTAAACCTCGGATTAAGGAGACTCCCCACGTTGAAATTCATGCCCTTTTTTCCTCTCCTTTTTGAATCGCTTGAAAAGGACTCGCAGATCACTTTTCATCAACTCCATTAGAAGAGTTAACAAACAACCCTCATGGCTAATTCGCTCCTGACCGATTCCAAATGGCTCTGTTTTGGATCCCCAGTTCCCCTTTGGTAAGCCCCAGCTCTGATCCGTTTGCTCCGTATGCTGTTCTGTCAATTTCATGCGATTGGTGGGGCAAGTAGTACCAGCTGCATCAATTGGATCTTCTAATTGCAACCACTACAACCTTTGATTTGTATCGGTTTAGTTCCAATTTCTATTTGTGGCGGCATTCAATTCGATCCAATTCAATTCCCTCGGGTTCAAGCTAAGTTAGGTGCTCTTACTCCTCCTCTGCTACAATAAGATTTATCTCCAGGAGCAGTTACATTTTTCAAACCATTACAATTAAAGACTGATAATTGCCGAAATCACAGCCTTTCTCAACATGACATTCATGCATCGTGCCATCCCCAAGACCATTGTCGCGTGGCGTCTCTGAAAAGAAAGAAGAAAACTGACTTCCACGAAGCTGGGACGAAGCTAATGGGCATGGACTTGTGTTTGGTATTCCCAAATTCTCTATTAGAATCTTGTTTAATTAACAAGAAAGAGACACGAATGGACCATTAAGAAGGCTGTTTGTCAGCGGAAGGTGGAGATCATATTCCCACATCTTGTTACCTAATCCAAAAACGTCAAGAGATGTCAACCCAATCAATTTATGAATACTCCTAATCTTTATATTGTCTTTTAATGGGAGTTGTTCTGGTGGGGTAAGGTAAGGTCGTGCCTTTTTGGTTTTGGAATGATGCATAGAAAACGATGAATTCCTGACACAGACTCCAGTTTCAGATGACCAAAAAGAGGTTCCCCTTGAATCCCTTCCCTCGAGAGGTGAAGATCACACTGGCTCAATAGTCAATTCCATGTGTCGCAAAGGTCGAATCTCCATGCGGAAAAGGAAAATAGATTGTTCTTTCGAATCTCCATGCGGAAAAGGAAAATAGATTGTTCTTTCCCGCATAGAAAATGGTCATTTTCGTCTGTTAAAGATCTTGCAGTAGCCAAATAATCATCATAAGGGACAATTCTCTTTTCCCATGAGACTACCAGAGGAGGAAAACCATAATCGCCCCATGAATAAGATTATCCTGATTTATGAATTATCACTATTGTTATCATCTTAGTAATAATTATCGAAGCTTGTTAAAGAACGTTAGTTGAACATCTCTTCATTAACCCAAACTTGATCCCCATGTTCCGGATTATCAACTTTTGATCTTCCATTCCAGTACAGGCTTGTTCTTTGCACGTATGCCGGGCATAAGAGCCAAGCCCGGCCCTACCGTCGCACGCATGTGTTCAGGTGGAGCTTTTTTTTTGGTCGAACAGGTGGAGCTATTTGCTGAGCCCTTTATGAACCTTTCCTTTGTCTGTGTTGTCATTCAATTCAATGTTTCCTGTTCTTTGGCTTCATTAATTAAGAGAACAGAGCAAACAATCGAAGAGCAGTTAAGAGGGAGGGGGGGTCAAAGAACTAGAGAGCCCTGTTTGCAACAGCCACGCTAGCTCTTTCTTTGATTACTCTGAACAAGAGAAACTTACCATCGACAACACCACACAACAAGAACAGCAAGACTGAGATGACAGGACTTCAAGCCTAATTTTAGCAAAATCCACAATTTCTGCTTCTTGGGTCACTGGAGAGAGGTTAAGCGTTCACAGAGACTTGGTAGCATCCATCAGAAGAGGAACCATTTAATGCATTTACTGCTGCAAATTGCCATTCAAAAATCCCAGCAAAAACAGTAGCTCTCTAAAGGGGAGGGGAAGAAAAAAGGAAAGGGTGCTGAAACACGCATTTGTATCGCGCCTCGGTTTCAAGCACTTTTCTTTTCTTTTGTGAAAATAAACGAGCTAGTAATTGCAGAAATGAAGTAACAGACAAAAAACTGGGAGTCTAGGGCAATCATATTAACCAACTTATCCAACTTTGGGACAAAATGAACAAGATATGTTATTGTTACTTGCTATGGAAATACAAGCATTCGCTTTATCGTCTACTTGGCACCACCCTGGTTTTGTGCAACATTTGGTTTGGTTTGGCTTTTCCTGATTTATCTGTTAGTAGTTGGAGACTTTAGATGGCTTGATTGGGCTAACGAGTTTCTAGCTCGACAGGCTAATGTTTAAAGCTGAAACGTTGTGGCTTACAAGACTTTAAGGTAACCACGGAAATAAGGTAGGATTAAACCTGACATTGCTAACTGTCTATAGACAGGTTATCAAAGGAGAAATTAACAGATCATACAACAATACACCCCTATGTTTGACTCTGAAAGCATTTTTACTATCCGAGAGTCAAGGTCTCAGCTGGCTTTTTCCTTAACCAAAAGTTTTGTTTATCACCGAAGTGGTATATGAATTTTCTTTGAAACTCTCTTTCTTACTGCTGAACATCAGCCACCTGGATGTCCTCTTCTTTTAGAGCCTAAATCTTATGAACATACATCACAACCTCAAACTCATCCTCAAAATAAGTAGAAAACTCTCACAGCCAATCTTGGAGAAGAATCAATGGTCATAAACAGGACTTTCTTGTAAGATTGAGGTAATTGTACATGATTTCATGTTGCCGGTTTCTCTAAGAACACATGATGGTGGTTCACAGGTCCCAGCATTTGGGAGTGAGATGCCGATCCATCATTCTCTCATCAATTAAGATGAAAGCAGCAACAGAAGAAAACTACGATTAGTCCTTCATTTAAAACAGGATATATATTTATGAAGACTTTGTATTTTCCGAATTATAAGATTACAAAGCCAAGTTGCCTTTCATTCATACTCAAATGGGCCACTGATGGCGAGAGTAACATGTCTAGGCATTGTTTGCATCTTAACATGCCCAGTCCTTTGCTTGCATCAGCAGCCCACTGTGGAAATTGCAGAAAAGGATGCCTTGAACTTGGATACTCAGAATTGAGGGCAAAAGAAGCTACAATTCAACGCACATTCAACATTACAATCGAAGATGTACCTTCTCTGCAGATCTCGCACATGATCATGCTTCATGTGACCGCATTTGGCAAGATGGTGAATTTCCACGCGGATCAGAGACAACTACAAAGTTGTTCAATAACTTGGTCGAGCCTGATTCTCATTTTCGTCAAGTATGAGTTTGACTCCATTGTTTTTTAATGCATGGACAATGGCCCAGATCTTTGTTCTGTTCTTAAAGCCTTTCTTCTCTATCTCCTTGTTTATGTCCATATGAATACCCCTACCCAGTCCATGCTCAAGGCCCTCCACCTTAAGTCGCATTGCCAACACCTCTCCAATGACACCTGCAGCCTTGGCATTGCAAGATCTGCCACACTCCAGAGTGTTCTTAATGGAGTGCTCAACTGTTGATGCTGTTGCCACAATCCTCCCATTATTCCTGTCCACGACATTGGCTGTGACGTACTTTAATGACATGAATAACCTCAACACGTACCTCTTTAGGACTGTCATTTTTTTTTCAGGTGATCCTGCAAATGTCTAATCAGAAAGACCACTCGAACAAAAGAAAAATCAACGTCCAGCAGTTGAATATCATTCAGTGAGGAAATTTGCAAACTAAACATCCAAAGGAAGGCACAAAAAAGTGACCCTTCAAGCTGAAGTTTCCAGTGCCTTGCCAGTTGCAAGCTGCTATAATTGTATAACCAGCTCAAAAATAGGACACATTTTCACAATATCATCTCATTCTAGCATCTGCACCTCCTAAGTTCTAAAGTAATTAGGATGAAATTCACTTCTGTCCAAGACCTTGATGTTTTTTCCTTTGAAGGGAAGCTTCAACTTGTCCTTCATGCTACTCAAGCATAATGTGCCTCATCAGATGATTTTCATCATTATATAAATATAAGTGTTAGACTTAGCCTATTGAACCTCAAATCTTCCCTAAACTTATGAAGTCTTGTTCTATAGGACAGACTTCTTTAGTTGGATGTTAAGAGGTGTAACATGTCAACCTCTCTATTTATAATTGGCGAACGCGACTATAATAGACTGAGACTCCCTGTTATAATTTTGTAACAAGTAGAAAGGAAATTATATTAGTCACATACTGTCAGCATATTTACAGTCCCAACGAGCATCCAAATAGATGGATTTATTATACAGAAAATAATCCAGAGCCAAAGCTGATATAATACTCTCAACAGAAACAGGAGGTACATTATTGAGAAACTTCGACAAAGCATAATGGATAGCTGTGCACGAAGGTTAAATTGAACTAAGCAGAGCACAAACCTGACAATTATGGGTTAATACGCAAGTAGCTAATTGAATAAAATCAGACTAATCCACACCCATCAACAAGAACACCATGACGGTGTCATCTCCGGTCTCTCCAGTTTCCACTATTCTCACATTCTATTTTCTGTTTCTCGTTCCTCAATACATGACCCTCCACAACCCACCAGTCATACCGGGTGGAGCGCACCCGATGCATGCTCAGCCCTTCGATTTCGTGGGTGCCATGGGACCCGAATGATCTAAGCCTAGGGAGTGCATTTGTGCACTCTGCACGACGCCACTAATATTTTACTGAGACACTAACTCCTACAATCCTTTAGAGTAGCACAATGCAGGAAGCTGATGAAATTAAGCAAACCCACGAAACTTGTGTTATTGTAGAGTACTACTAGCTAATAAACAACAATATTGTAACCAATGAATCTGCTTAAGTCCTGAATTTCTCCTTAAGGGTTGCGATAGATATATGTTTATTCCATCATAGCACTCCATTAAGAAGAAAAATCGGAGTCATGGAATAGGCCATTCCAATGTAATCCAAAACTAAAGATTAACCAGAAACCACGCGTGAAGTCCAAAACCTAACAATTCAGAAAGCAAAAGACAATCAGAGAAAGTGAATTTGGGGAAGAAGACTTACAGGGAACCAAAAGAGAGCGATTCCAGCAGGAGGGAAGCCAAGACCATGCCCAAATGGAAAGCAAGAAGCTTCATATGGACAGAGACAGAGACAGAGCATTGGGCCTTGAAAAAAAGACGGTCGAGTCTGATAAAATTATGGGCTCCGCTTGTATAGATCTTGCCTAGACACGTCAAACGGGTAGTTGGATTGGACATTATTCGACTCAAATTATCTCATTTAATCCGTTTTAATCTATTTTCATGTAATATAAATATAGTGATCCATACCCGACCCAATACATATTGTTAAAATACCTCCATATTTAATCACATTTAGGAAAATTCATACACAAACTGAGATAACAGCACAGAGTAAGCGAGAGCGAAAAGAGTGAGGGCGAGATATAGTTATAGAAGTGGGTTTGGTCTAAGTTATGAATCCATTTAACACTCATATAATCTTTAATTTTATTATTCTAAACTCATTTAAGACTAATTTACTGAATATACAAACTCATATATGCAGCCCATCAAATATGGGATGAGAAATGGTGTACAACCCATTTTGACATGTCTAATCTTGCCTAATGCGAGTGCTACATTGATATTCAAATTACAGTCCGCTCTATATTAAAAGTACGCGTTGCATTGGAATAAAAGACGACAAATTCTGAACTTGAAATGCTTGATTTTAATTGGTGATGATGTTGTGTAACCGATAGAAAAGCCGCGTTCCTTTTCTTTTCGATCGAGAGCCCTCCGACAAGAATCACTCGGGTCAAAATACCTACGAATATCCAAAGTTAAATAATGCACTCCTACATACACATCTCATTGTTACCATTTCGAAAGACATGAAGAGCATCGCGATTTCAAGAAATCAACTCAACGAGGATTGACTTGAGTTCCCACCATACACAATGCACTTCTTGCGACATATATTCCATTAACGTAATGAAAACATTCCAGGTATTCTCACATAATACGCCAAAGGTCAGTATATGTCCGATCTAATATGCAATCAATCCCTAAGACTGCGTTTGATCGTCTAGATTTCTAGCCAAGATAGAATTGGCTAGGATAGGATATAAAATCCAAGGAATTTGCTATATCTTATCTACTATTTGGTAAATCGCAATAATAAAACCGGATATTTTCACATATTACCATGTCCATTATTTTCTATGAACATCATATCAGTATAAATGAACCTGAAAATTGCACAAACGGAGATGATAAAAATCTCTCACGACACTCTTACCTACTTCATTTTTATTTGCTTATTTTTTTTATTATTTTTCCCTCTCTTTTTTAATTATTTTCTTTTTTATTTCTTTTTTCCCTCCCATCATTTTCTAATAAAGTTTTATTAAATAGTAAACTATAAAAATATACCTAAAATATGTAATAAATATAAATACTAAATGTATTTATAAATATATAGATGAAATTTATATCATAAGAAAGAAAAATGAATATATAAATAAAAATAAGAATAAATAAAAAACCAATTTATTTTTATTTTTTGTTATTTTGAATTTCTTATATTAAAATTCAAATATTATTTATATTCAAATATAGTTTTAATTTTATTAATTTAACAAGTTTGTTATTCGAGAAAAATAACATTTTATATTATGGATATTAGAAATCCTATCCACTTTTATTCCACCTCCCCCATGGTATAATTTTATCTGGGTTATATCCCTTCTATATCCGACTTTATCCTGTCTTAGGCAAGCACCAAACACAAGATAGGATAAAATCTATCATATCCTGAATTTTATCTCAACTACCAAATGTAGCATCTCGAATGTTTCAAACGAATTAGGCGCAATCAAGTTCTTCTGGGAACCGCTCATGCAAATTTGTTGATGTGGCACGCTGGAATCTGACATGGCGTTTGGCATCATGTTAAAAAAAGTCTACCTCTTTAAAAGAAAAATAAGAATCTTGAAAGAAATAAAAAAAAACTAAACTAAAGATAGAAAATAAAGGAAACCAAGTGAGAGAGAAAGAAAGACTCAGCAAGAGCACTATGGGTGCGGTGAGGGCTTTGGAGATTAGAGATTTATTTATTAGAAAATACTGTCAGAGATATTTTTAGATATTTGAGATATTATATGATATTGGCTACTTTCTAGGATAACTTATTTCGTTTCCATAGGTATCGTTTGGGTATAAATACCCTTAAATCTAATAAATTAAGAGTGAAGAAGTCAATTGAGTAAAGTTGTAGTCTTTCATGTTTTTTCTCTCTCTTGAAGATCTTATAATATTTACATGGTAATAGAGCTAGCGGTTCTGAGGTTCACGTTTATTATTAGGCAAAAATACGAGACTAAGCGTGAGCTGGTGATGGAATTTTTAAATATTACCACGTCTTCATTTAACAGCTTAAACTTTCAAAACAGTTATCAATGATCTCACAAAATCTCACATGATATCAGAGCCACCAAAAGAGAAGGAATTAAACCAAACCGTAGCCTTTTCTTCGTTTATGCCATCGTTTATTTGTTGTGGTACTCTCTTTTAATTGCAAATTAACATCATCGATAAGCGAAGTCGCTGTCAAATATCCAGATAGTTGTGAGCATCGGAATTGAGCACACCTTCATCATGCAGCCAAAGATGAGTGCCATGGGATGATGAGTTTAGTTTGCCGCAATTTAAGTTGGGTTTCCACAATGTTTTATCAAAGTTATATGAGAAAAAATTATCAATTTTCTAATCATGAGTTTCACCGTCATGTAAGGTCTGGCTTACACGGCACATGGTCACAGACTCTGGAAGAAAGTTGCACCGGTCATATGCAAGCGGGATACAGACTTTGGAAGAAAGTTTCATCATCTAGAAAATATTGTTAGAGATATTTTTAGATATTTGTGATATTATTAGATATTGGATATTTTCTAGGATAGTTTATTTTATTTCCTATACATATTGTTCGGGTATATATACCCTTAAATCTAATAAATTAAGAGGGAAGAAGTCGATTGATCAAAGATGCAGTTTTTACTGATTCTCTTCGATCTCCATTGAAGATCCTATAATATTTACATACGCTACCCATATGTATAACCTAAAATTTTAGTTAATAGGCGAATCAATGAGGATAGATATGAATTGTCTAAAAAAAAAAAGCACATGAGCTATGTACTGTAGAAAAATCATCTTCTGTAAAGACCTCAGGCAGATTGAACACGGCAAGGGGTATTTCAAAACCAAATATATCTGATAAGTGTGGAAAAGAAATCATCCAAACAAAACAAAAGTTCCTTAAAATCAATGAAGTAAATCAAATCAAATCAAACCAAGGTCTTCTTCCCTCCAGCCAAGAGTCAAGGACTTCATCTTGGATTGGAGAATTTATCTTAAACTTTGGTTATAAATCCAAGCTAAAGCAACTTTAAGTGAAAGCATTTCATCGAGCTCATCAAAAAGACTTGGAATTTCATGCCAGTAACTCTTGAACACCAAACTTTTATCATACTAAGGCCATAGTGTCGGTAAGTGGATGAAGGATTAGCTCTGCTACTGGTCCACAAACAATTTCTGGAGGTCCATTTGACGGCTGCATCCGGACTGAAAAGACCTAACGATGTGGTTTTCCCGTCACTATAAGTTGGTCGGACCTACCCGTTGCGCATGCTCAAAAAACCAAGGCTCGATGGTTTTATTTTCGAAGCATTTGTTATCAGTACAGATTTGACGTTGATTTTTTACTCAAACAATGTTAATCGAGTGTACTATCACGACGCAAAGTCCTTTATTCTTATAGACAGATTGGACATTTTCTAACTTACCCCTTAAAGGTTCTTCCGCATCTACTTTGAAGCATCTCATATATGGATCTTCTGCCTTCCACACTATCGAGATTGTAACTATCATTAACCCTAGATTAAGAGAATCCAAACCTTCCGTTTGTTGCTAATCATGAGGCGTATGAAATTTTTCAAGCATCCCATATTGGAATGGACGTGCGATCGAGCTACTCAATCAATTTTGAACAAATTAAAGTGGCTAGCATTGATAGGCTTGCTTTGCTTGCTTTTATGGGCAGAGAGAGGCAGTTACATGAATCTTAAAAACATCATTGAACATACACAAAGAAGGTTTTTACGAAAGTGACCATGTTATTCCATCTAGCTAGCTAAGGTACACATATCTCAAGCTTTTGGACATTGCACCAAGCATATCAGTCATGGCATGAACCTCCAATGAATTTTTTGAGTAATTAAGTAACATTAGTCATCACATGGACGTCCAATGACTAACTGAACCATATGGCCTCCAAAGAGCTCAAGTACAAGTAAATACATGGGGACTAGGGGAAGAGTCGCCATCATCAAATTGCTTGGCACCACTAATCTATAAGAAGGCTAGGCAAAAAAGCCTAACTTATCTCGTACTTTTGGATACGAAAAGTTCTAAGGGAGACATAACGATAGTGCTGACCAATTTTACCGCACATGAATTCATCTAAGGTCGCTCCCCTAGTCGATTCCTCCTCTTTGCCACGCTAAATTATTAGACTTAAAGGGTCATCTCTCTCTAGATTCTATTTAGCCAAAATCCTCTCAAGCTCGCCAGGCTCGCAAGGGATGGCAAGTGCACCGCCATGGTCGAACCCATATTCTTCGGCTGCCTGCTCCAGGAGCCTAAGGAACGTGGGGTGCGCTAGGTAGCTCAAGGGGATCACGAACCTCTTGGGCTGGTCTCCTTCCAAAGCCACCACTGCAAAGTGACCTTCCTTCACATCGTCGGGAACGACATCGCCATTGTTCTCGCACTCGTTCGCATCTTCGCAATAGTCATCCTCTTGGTGATAAGAAGATGACCATGGATATGGCGATCTCCTACTGAGTGATAGGGTCTTTTGTAGCTTCTCCACCACAATCCTGAGCTTCACAATGCCACTCATTTTGCTACCACTCGCTCTACTAAGCTTAGCCATTTGGGATGAATTCCTTTCTCTTTTCCTTTTCTTTTTCTTGGGGGATAAGGGAAAGAGGAATCGAGAACTTTGAGGAGTGTTGTCTTGTGAGTAAGTTTCGATTTGCAATTTGTTGTGGCATGTCGTTTGCTAGAGGGCTATATATATAGTGATGAGAGGCACGTGTGAGGGAGAGAGAGAGAGATGGACGGTTATGATCTGACGTCCATCTCTTTCCCGGAAACCCGAATCAAACCCAACCCTTGACACCCTAATCAAGACTAGAGAGGAAAGAGAGAGAGGAAACGACATAAGGAGAGAGAGACCGACTGGAGAAATAAATACCGGGGAGCCCAACGCATGTGAGTAAAATACACCTTAGCCTTCAACTTACCATGAAACGTCCCTTTTCGCTTGTCACGTCTGCCTTCTAAATTATTTACTCCTCTCTCTCTCTCTATCTCTCGCTTGTCACGTCTGCCTTCTAAATTATTAACTCCTCTCTCTCTCTCTCTCTCTCTCTTCCCATGCCATGCTTTGGATATTTCTACGACCAACCACTGCTCAGTAGTGTTGGTACTAGCTGAATGTCCTTTGGCAAAGTCCGCATATGCCACTCGGAGAAAGATTTGACGCGAGGAATGTATGCTCGGACGCATATTTTTTTTTCACGAACCAGTTACATTCACATGTCAGTGTCAGATTCATGCATGCATGACTATGTCTTTACTCTTGGAGCTCAAACATGGATCTCAATGACTTTTGCATTTGGTTCTCATAGATTGGCATTTGTATCAACTTTAAATGCTGAAGTGCGATGAGATCGAAGTACAAAAGTAAAAGGTAGAAAAGAAATAAATGCGCATATTTACTTATCCTGTAAAAGTCAATACGGGTTTTCTGCCATCCTGTTAAATAATCACATTTGTGGCAATTTATCGTCAGTACCGGATGTTGATATTTTTTTTTTTTTTTTTTCAAACGAGGTTTGTTATAACAATCCAGAGTTATTTTCCTTCCATCTTCTGTTTGGCAATGAGTAGACGTACAAGGAGAGATGCCGGATGAAAAAACATGCATTTTGTATGCATATATCCGCATTCATATTTTCTTACGATTCATCTTGGTTTTGGAAAAACACGTGAAAGTCAGTACCTTCATGCGCGACACCGGCGACAAAAATTCGTGAATCCATCTGTAACATGGGAGAAACACGGGGAGCAAGGTTCATGTTAAAAAACACGCGTACACTGTATATGAACGAATCATTTCATGCACATATCGTCATCTGACACACATTTAGATATGAGCTCCGAAAAAAATACTGTTGGGAATATGACAAACGCTGAAAATGCTTGTCATACACAAGAAGCTGAGTCGGATGCATGTGGTGCGTCTCAGAATCATTCAATCAGTATAGTCTTTTCGATTGCATAGTGGCAGGGATTTGATTTCGTACGCAAAGAGAGGACGAAGTAGTTTCCAGGACGTAAATCAAGAGAACAATCTCTGATAAAAACTTGTGTGGTTCGCATGCATATGGTCTTTCTCAGTACGAATGACTTTAGAATAAAGTTTCAGAGAGAGAGAGAGAGAGAGAGAGACATTATTTTTATGGAAGATAGAGAAAGCAAATGCAATGCAGATTGAATAGTGGCAGGGATTTGATTCCGTTCGTATAGAGAGGACGAAGAAGTTTCCAGAGACGTAAATCAAGAGAACAATCTCTGATAAACTTGTGTGTTCGCATGCATATGGTCCTTCTCAGTACGAATGACTTTAGCATGAAGTTTGAGAGAGAGAGACAGAGACAGAGACAGAAACAAAGACAGTCAGACATTATTGTTATGGGAGATAAAGAGAAAGCAAATGCAATGCATGCATGTCTGGCATTTGCATGTCTGAATGTAAGCGTGCATGCTTACAATTTCCGACGTCGAACTTTCTTGAATTTCGCCTCACCAACCGACTGGAACATAACTATTCCTTCGTGTGGACGAGCGATTAGCAGATATACACATTGGCGTTGAAAAGTCAGGGCTGCTTCTGACGTGGCAGAGTCCTGGATGCCTCCACGACCTACTCGACCTTTCCAAACCCACCCCATTTTGCCACGTGGACTCTGGGCCTTTCAAAGATCGGATTCTTTGACCCAAACAAGAAAAAAGAAAAGATCGGATCCAACAAGGTATGCGTTAGCGGTGTCAACTGTTCGATTCGATTCAGATTTTTAGGAAACCCTTTAAACACGTAGTCGTTAAATGAGAATTCAACAGAGAATTCTCAATTGAAAATAGTGCATGTGCGTCCGCGTTTGAATGCTACTTGTGATATATTATTTTACTTATGAGTTGTAACAAATAAAAGTTCTTTAGATATCTCTTTTCTTGAGAACCTTTATTTTTTTCACATTACTTGTTGAATTATATATTTCTCTCTACACAAGCAGTTGTGAAACGAAACTTCTCATCTTGAAATGAACTCAGTTATCAAATTTAAAAGCCGTATACTTATCAGCGGCTGAACCCTATTTGTGTGACGAGTTTGCCAAATAAAAGTTGTTGATTACTTGTTGCGGGGATTATGCAAACCAAATGGACAACTAGGTCTGTTCAGAAGTATAATCAGTGACTCATCATGGATAATAGTCTGCTTGTCTATGCTCAATTTAATCAATCGATAATTGAAACATTGCGTGCGCGCGCGCGTGTCTATATATATATATATATCACATTTTTTCAAAGGGAGGTTAGTCTGCATTGAAGTAAAGTTCTTCTACCAAGTTCTTATTTATGGAGGTTAGATAATAAAATTAGCATATCTAGGTTACAATTACACGCAAAACCCTCTCCTCCAAGACCAAAAATAAAAAAACTAATTTCTTTTCTTGCCACTTCTTCTTCTTCTTCTTCTTCTTGCCGCCTGTAGTCCGCTGTTGCCGCTGCTTCATCAAGAATCAGCCTATCTGTCGTTGACTAGTCTTGCTACGTCGCCTCTCTCTGAGGCATGTTGGCCTCAGATTGAGATTGATGTGTCTACCTGAATCTAGGCAAACTTAGTGCCATATGTCAACCAAACTTTGGGAAGCATTTCATTGGCAGATCGATAAGAAAATGAAATATTCTAGAAAGCGCATGAGCATGCACGTTCTTTATCGAGAAGAATGGAGTGAGTTTTCACTCTTTGTTTGAACTTTTGAAACAGTTTATGTGAAGAACCACAGGTTGCACAATATCAAGCATTATAACATTATCATATTTATGTCGCTATCTCCTATAATTACTCGCCTCTTATTCGGCAAATATAATCTCTCTTGGCTTTCGGGGCAGCGCCAACTACGTAGGGCACGGGCAAATATATTTTAGTAACTATTCGCGTAATAAGACTAGAGGATTATCACGCTCGTTCTAATTAGTCGAGTATTCAAAGATTTTGGATACTCCATTCTTAGGGAAAAAAGAGATAATTACTGAAGATATGGACCGACCTGCTCCTATCTTTCAGTTCCACTTAAACTTAGTCAATAGTTATCTCATGGGAAAAGTGTAAAAAAAGTCATAAACCTTTGGCATTTGTGCCAATTTAGTACTAAACCTTTTTTTTGTGTCAATGAAGTCCTAAACCTTTTATTTATGTGTCAATTCAGTATTTCCGGCCAATTTTGGCCAGATTTTGCTGACGTGGATTCCGGCCGGCCACCGGCGCTAAAGTGGACAACTTTTAATAATATTTTTTGAATTTTCATTTATTTTTTTATTTTTTTCTTTTCTTTTTCTTTTTTTTTCCTCTCCTCCCTCCTTCCTCCAGCCGATCGCCTTGCCGGTGGCGAGGGCGGCCTCGCGCTGGGCGAGCGAGGCTCAAGCACTCGACGGAGGCCACGAGGTCAAAGGCCTCTGGCGAGGGCTCAAGCCTCGCCAGCGGCTGGGCGAGGCCCGACCTTGCCGATGGCTAGGCGAAGCACGACCTCGCCAAATCTGATGAGGTCTAGCCTCGCCCAGCCATGGCGAGACTCGCCTTCGCCGTCGTTGGCAAGGGCGAGCCTCGCCGGCCTCTAGCCAGTCATTGATCCGGCGACCGGCTGGAGAAAGGAGGGAGGGGAGGGGAAAATAAAGAAAAAAAGCAAAAAAATTTCAAAAAAATATTAAAATATTATTAAAAGTTATCCACGTCAACGCCGGTGACAAGCCGCCGGTCAACCGACATCCACGTCAGCAAAATCCGGCTAAAATTGACCGAAAGGAGTGAATTGGCATAAAGATAAAAGGTTTAAGACTCAATAAGTACTAAAAAAAATTTAGGACTAAATTGACATCAATGCTAAAAATTTAGGACTTTTTTGGACACTTTTCCCGTTATCTCACAAATAGTCAGATGACAAATGTCAGTATGCCTAAGGTTTAGTCTAGTCTAGACAATTATGTAACGGGTCCATCGTCCGGTTTGTCACGGAAATTGGACATTCCTGTTCAACGGAACTTTGCAAATGTAACATTGTTTATGACAGGACTGAAAAAGAGCATTGCCAATCCCGACGACGTCATCCTACTTGTTAGGGATATTTTGTAAGATATTTTCCTCCGTTAGATATAGTTATAGTGATTTTTGAAGATATTTTCTTCTGTTAAAGATTGCGCATATATATCCGTTTAATTGTGCATATCCTTGAATAATTTGTTAACTTAAATAATCACCCACCGGCCGCGTTTTTGTCCACAAATAAACCCCACCAAATGAACCAGATCAGTAGCCACCTGCTGCAAGACAGTCTCCCGTGCCACAGCAGCCCACTACAAAAAAACATGATTATTGCGACGGAAATCTGCGACGGATTATTTTCGTCGCTAATTTGCGACAAACTTTGCGACGGATTTATAAATCCGTCGCAAATTTGCAAATGCGACGGATTTATTTTCCGTCGCAAATTCTGTCGCAAATTTGCGACGGATTTATTTTCCGTCGCTAGTTCCGTCTCAAATTTGCGACGACTAATTTTCCGTCGCAAATTTGCGACGGATTTATTTTCCGTCTCGACGAATATTTTATCCGTCGCAATTTGTGACAGATTTTGCGACGAAAAGGGTTCGTCGCTAATTTGTGACGGAAAATTAATTTTTTAATATGCACCCCACCCCACCCGTCAATTTCTCTCTCTCTCAGTAGTTATTCGTCGGGTCGCCCGCTTTTCTCTCACCTTCTCCTTCTATCATTTTTCTCAATAATCCGTGCGTCCAGAAATCAATCTCGGTGAAGCTTTTCCGCCGGTAAGTATAGTAGCTAATTTCGTGACTAAA